GAGGAATCAATCTTCTTATCCTTGACCAAAGTCTTTCTACACCTTCTGAATCAGTGAGACCCATACCCAACTTCATGCGTGGGTTGTAGACCAATTGGCAGGCCCATTGATGTCCAAATGCATGCATCGCGTTCAGAGAGAATGATACGCGAGATCGCAAATGGGCAGAAAGGATGGGGAACTTCGGAGTATAGTCAGCATTGATATGGACTCTATCAAGGGGTGCGGCGGGGGGTGCGGCGGGGGGTGTCACAGGGGTTGCGGCGGGGGGTGTCGCGGGGGGTGCGGCGGGGGGTGCGGCGGGGATAGAAGTGACAGACTGTGAATGGGAATGCACGTACCAAATTGTTACTCCGGTCAAGAACACAACCGATATCATAACATTGCGTAATGGTTGCATTGGATGGCAGGAGTGAGGCCACCTTCTCCAAGAGCGCAATTATGTAGTGCTGCTGCTCTCCTGGAGTGTCTATATCACACATGAACAGGACTTGTGAGTGACGACATGTCAGTGCAAAGATGCCAGTGGAGTCATAGCGCTTTGGATCCCCCTTTTGTTTGTGCTCATTTGCGGCAGTCCATGACTCTCCACAGGCATCCACAATATCAGCTGAAATTAGAGACTCTTTGAGAGGCTTCGGAGATTTCCTCGCCAAAAGCACAGTCTCTTTGACCTTGTGAACCTCTTCAGGTGTCAGGAAGTACTCCTGACTGAACAAGGATGGTCCGTTGCCAGCAGCTCGGAGATGACGATAGTTGAAGCAACCATCAGCACCAAATTGGACATCCCCACCGCTGAGAATATAAGTCAGTCACTGGTGATCAGAGTCAGAGGAAAATCGAACATAGCAAGCGGACGGCCCCATTCCTTCAGGGAAAAACACAGGGGACACCGGCTCTGTAGAACCCGATTTGCAGATCCAGGGACCAGCAAGAGTTGATCATCAGATTTGACGGTGTGGTTGGCAGGGGTAAATGACGCGGGGGGTGCGGCGGGGGACGCGGCGGGGGGTACAGGGGGGGACCCAGCGGGGGGTGCGGCGGGGGGTGCAGGGGGGGACGCAGCGGGGGGTGCGAAGGGGGGTGCGGCGGGGGGTGCGGCGGGGGGTGCACCGAGCATGGACACCTCGCAAGGTCCTGTGATTGAGACTGATGGATGTGGCTCAGCATGTGCAGGGGAAATTTCACAGGTGGAAGCTATGGAGTCTCTTGGAGATGATCCGGTGCTGCTACGGCAATACTCTTTGGCCAAGGCATCATTGACCATTTTTCGGATATGCTGTTGAATGCTGCTGTACACATGCACTGCCTGGGATAAGGCTTGTCGAAGAGGATCAGCAGCATGTTCACCATCAAACTGGAATATGTATCAGAAATAAAGTGCAAAAAAAGCGGAATGAAAGAAGCAACTCACGGTTTTGGACATCAGCTCAAATCCTCTGGTATTATAGAGGGTTGTTAGAGCGTTTGTGAATGCTTGAATGGCGATGCAGGAGCGTTGAAACAATGCCTGGTATATCTCCAATGTATTGACTGTAACAGCAATTTGTGGCTTGCTAGGTGAGGTGGCCAGAGCACCATGCTCCAGTAGAACAGTTGCAGGGGGAACACAAGAACATGTTCGGACATTGATATGTTGAAAATCTGGTCAAATGTCAGGCCAAATCTGTTCAGGCAAAATTGAAACACACATGAGATGTGGAGACATAGGACACGAATTTTAGTTGGGGTACAGGCAGGATTTTCACAATTTTGATGAATGGTTTCAGCGAGTGATGCGGGTGGACATGCAAAGGATGATTTCCGAAATGCCAGCAGAGAGATGGCAAGATCAGGGATGAGATTGATCCACACAGAAGAGGCCTGCATAGCACGTGGCTTCCTCTGCAAAGCATGTGGTCGCGCAAGAATTTCAGGGATAAATGGCGGCATTCCAGCCCCAACACCCAGCCATGCGGCGGGCCCCGCGGCGGGCCCCGCAGCACCCCCCGCGGCACCCCCCGCGGCACCCCCCGCGGCACCCCCCGCGGCGGGCCCCGCGGTAGGGCCCGCGTCATGTGCAATATCTTCCCATAGATCCTCGCTCATTGCGCTTGTTTCATCCACTTCCATTCGATCCTCAAGGATTATATGCTCCTCCATCCGTTGTCCAGACGGTTCGGTTTTCAAATCTGCTGATTTTGGGTCAAGCAAAGAATTCATCTTCTGAGCCAGAAGATTTGCGCGAGCGTTGCGGCCCATGGGTATTGTCAAGACGTTTCGGAGCTTGTGCCGTCCCTTCACTGGACTGGTGGGTCGAATGCTTTGCCCTGAAGGTTTTCCTGGCTGCTTTCTTGGTGGTGGCTTTTTGGGGGGCATCCTGGGAGGAAGAGGCAGAAGGAGATCGTCATGGGAAACAAAGTAATCATATATCAGGGAACCCAGCGGCACTACGGCGTGAGCGTACAAATATGGAACAGATCAACCCCGCAGATGACCCCGCCAGATGATGGGATCATGCCCATCACTGCTGCAGCGCGGGGGGCGCAGCGGTCCAGGTTTTGCATTCAGTGCTTCGCTTTTTCGATATTTGAGGCACAGGACAGACTGGAATAGCATCCCGGTTTTTCCGGCAGCTATTTTTGTTTTTTTTTTGCGCTCGGTCACGTGACCAAACTGCCCGCCGCCCCCGCGCATTGTGCACCGTGGAGAGCCCTGAAAATCGCACCGAATGGCGGCAAAAAAGATGGGAGGAGGTCACGTGAATGTGCGCCTACCGCCCGCCGTGGCATGCGGGGGGGTCGGTAATGACCCCGCCAGCACCCTGCCAGCCCCCGCCAACATTTTAAAAATTATCACTTCAGCTGTCACGTGCTTTTTTTATCCCGCCATCCCGCCCATGCAGCGCGTCATGTGATTGGATTTTTTTTTCCCGCCCAGCTACCCGCTCTTATCGACAAGTCACATGCTACATACACCCCCCCTCCTCCTGACCCCCGCATATGCCCCCGCTACAAAATCGACTAAATGGCCCCCCCACCCCCCGCCAGGGGGTACCTACTGGGTACCCTCAGCAAGACGTCTGAGGGTACCCAGTAGGTACCCCGCGGGGGGAGAACCGCGTGATGGCGGTGGTAACTGAGGTGGTAGGTTATGTAAAAGAGCGCGAAGAAGACTGTGACTGTCTCATTAGCTTACTCTTTATAGATAACTAGATTTTGGAAAGATTGCGAACGATAGTGTACTCAAGTAGTCCTAATGTGTCTTCTATTACCGGAAATCCATGCTTCACTGTCTTATCTGACTGCTCATCGACTTTTATTGCGAGTTTTGGCTGAGATTTGACTGCATTAGGGTGATGAGTATTTAGCCGTCTCATTAAGGTATGCTGCATTAGGATCCAGGGACCCTTTGTAAGCGTCACACTGTGACAAACAGCGACGGAAGATGACGACGGCCACGGAGGGAATATAGCTAAAGTACTCACATGGGGTGTTTCTGGAGGCCTTTAGCACACCTGCTATGTGAGTAGAATTTTTTATTTTGCCTCCTGGAGAGCGTGATGTGAGGTTCAAGAATTCTGCATCAAAAGTTTTCTTTTATTGTAGAAAGTGATTTCCAACTGAACTGAGCATCTTTAAATTTTGGGTCGGAAGATTTGACCATTCACGTGACGTCCCAATTAGGAAGTGGCGGTGCTGCCGGCGTTGAGATCCCCTTCTATAGTCATAGTAGCCGTAAAGAAATTCAATTATCCTTCGGACACCCATTTTGGATCACATTGGGTGCATACATGTCCATAATGACACCGAAAAGAAGGGCTACGTTTTTCGGACTGTGAATTTGAACGTCACGTGACTGTCACGCACTGCTTACTAAGGGTCCCTGGATCCTCATGCGGCATACCTTAGGTGGTAATTGACTGTACATCGAGCCTGACATTGATGCACAACGCAACACTTCCGAATCAAGCTGACCCGCAACACCGAAAGTGCTGAAAAGTCGGGACGGGTTCGTCACTGGACACTACCATGACACTTGAATTCCGCACTAATAACTAGTGGAGAGTGGCCGTCCTTTGCGCGCCGTCTGTCTCCCACGCGTTGTTGTTGCACGTCCGTGTGACAGTCTCACGTTGAAGTATCTCTCACGGCACTGGAAGGGGTCTGAGTCAGTTTTTGACTTTCCGCCCTTGTGTTCTTCACGTGACCTGCCTTTTTGGGAAGCCACCGGCACGTGCACACGGAGGCTCCGGATCCTAATTTATTTTATTTTAATTATCGATGTGCTTGTCCAGTAAGCATGTTTGTTGATGATCTCGTGACCTTCCACCTTTCTCCCTTGCCCATCACCCTCCTCCCATTCGACGCGCCGATCCAACGATAACCCGCCCCAGCCGTTCGTGCCACGCGATGTGCATGCACGAACGGCCTTCTACGTCATTTGGCTTCCGCCCCACCGCTAGTACTTGACGGAGGGAGGGCATCGGAGGTGATGCCGTGACCGCTTGCTCACGGCGTCACTTCCGATGCCCTCCCTTCCCTCTTTCTTCCGCTACTCCCTCATCCCCAGCTCTTTGCGCGTCGTCCGCTCTCCCTCATCCTGTGCCACACAGCACCTCCAGCCCTCTGCTATACATATACACAAGTAACTCTAAGTTTATTTATCTCTACTAGCTACAGTGTTATATGTACCTCTATGTAGATGCAAATGCCACTTCCTTGCCCCCTCTTCCTGAGCTCCTTGAATTCTAGGTATATTTCTAACACTTAGTCATTATTCCGTGTATCTGTACCCTATTTATTCAAAAGAAATGATTTTCGATGAAACCCAAGGGCGGAAAATGAGAACTGCCGGTCAACGGTGTTCTCATCAGCGGCCGCCGGCGCTCACGTGCTTCCCAAAAAGGAAACCCAAGGGCGGAAAATTGCGAACTGTCAGAGTCGGTTTCAACTCCCGTCCCATTAGCCTCAGGGGGATATGCACTTCTTATCATCTTCGATATCTCATTTGAATAAAGCGTGAATAAAGCGAGGTGAAATGCCGTCCAAGCATTCCCTTCCTTCCCTTCCATTTGAAAGTATGAACAACGAGTACAATGTCGCGCTTGCATCTTTCGTAGGTTTTACTCCGGTCATTAGCTCCCTCTCTGCACGCGAGAGACTTTCGTAGGGAACAATCCGCTGGACTGCTACAGGCGGAGTTGACTCTTATTTCCTTGCCCAACCTCACTACTCCGGTATTGTCTCTCTCGGACACGGAACAAGACTGTCCGGTGGACGTAAATGAATCATGTGACATAGATAACGCGATCACGGGACTTCGCCCGCTTGAACTTTGGGCACTATGGTCCTGGATACCGGTATCCTGAGAATAGGCAGCTCTTTCCTATTGACAACATATAGAAGTACCCACCCGATAAATAGAACTAGATGCCGCGATTGCACGAAGGTTAAGTGAATAAGTACCGGACGTGGTTAGTAAGTAACATAACAAAGTATTAACGACAGCGAGTTGGCAGGTAGAGTACAAGGATAGATGATGCACGGATAGTTGCGGAGCATTGCGATGTAGATGGGCAGTGAGATTGTCGTTATGTAGATGAATGATATCGTTCATGCGTCGGCGGTCGTCGAGGCCAGGCTGCAATGCGATCGATCTGTCTGCAGTGGCGGTGGCGCCTGTCCGAGTCTCATCGCTTCGACCGCAAGGTCCGAAGCCGAAGCAACAGCGCCTGCAAGATGATCAGCGCTCAGTCGTCGTCGATCACAGCTGGTGACAGTGACAGCACGTACCTCAGCCTCGGCCGGCTTGAGCGTTCCTCGATTCCGTTCTACCTCCAGCCCCGCCTCGATACTTTCGACGACGTCATCGATGAGCTCGCGGTAGTCGACGCCGAAGAACTGGGTGAGCTTCGCAGCACGGCGCCGCCGCGTCTGGAACTCCTCGCCCGTCGGGGAGTTGGCGGGTGACTCGTTGGCGGTGACAATGGAAGACAGCGAGACAGTCGACGTCCGGGCTGGCATGGATCGCCGCCGTTCGGATTTCGGCCGTGGGCTCTGCGGTGAGTCATATACGGTGTTCACGGCACCCAGAATTCCGCCGATGCTGGCGAATGAAGTAGCTCCGATCGGTGCGAACTCGACTGGAGAAGAAAGTGGCGTGGCATCAGGGTCCAAGTGGTACTCGTGTCGGCCCAGATAGTTTTCCGTCGGGCTGATGTTCTCGTCTTCGTCGTCCGCGTTAAGATATTGGTGGAGCTCCACCAGAGACTCTCGGTCGTCCTGAGATCAAATCAGTCAGAGCCTGGAATCATAAGACTAGAGAAACGGACCCGGTCAATGATATCGACAAGCGAGTTCAACGAGTGCTGATAATGTGAATACACGATCGATTCGTCGCACAGGTTGGTCAACGACTCAGTAGGCGTCAGCAAGTGTTGAGCCGAGTCACTCGTCCCTGGCCGACCAGCCTTTTTCTTCCGTCCGGTCGCTGAACCAGGATACTGATGGGTTCGGGGCGAGGCAACGAAAGAGTGCCGGCTCTTTCCGGTATACGACGACTGGTTCTGATTTGTCGACTTGGTGGAATGTCCAGACCCGGACCCAGAACCGTTGATGGAAGGCGTCGGGGAGGCGCCCGAATACAAGCTCGGGGGAGGCGCGACGCCGAAGACCTAGTCCCCTAAGAGATCGAAATCAACACGGAACACAAGACGCACCTTGCCGACTTTCTTGGCGCGTTTGACGATCATGGCCTTTTCCCTGTCCCCGAGCTCTTCCCTGACGCGATCGACGTCATCTGACCAGTCCGATGACGAGGGCGTCGAGGTCAGAACGGCCGAAGAACTGCGTCTCCGGCGCGTCCAGGTGCTGGGGTGGATCGCGTGTCGGCCGCGGAGCACGCCGGAGGGCGAGCCCTCAAAGTCAGAGTGCATCGGCGACTCGGGCTGCTCCGCTGGCAGAGGCTTGCCTGCGAATGCGGGCCCCAGAACGAGATTCGCGGGGACCCGCGAGCCAAGGTATCGGTGTAGCTTGGCGAGTTTGGCGCGAGCCCGCCGCCGTTCAGACTCGGCGTCGCTCTCCTCCTCGCGTTCGACGGTCAGGATCGACGCGTTCGAGATGGTCGGAGCGAGTGAGGCGACAGAAGGGACGTGGACGAGGCGTGACGGTCCCATGACAGAGATGGAGTCGTCGGGGCTGAGGGTCATGATCGACGCTGCTTCATCATCGACTGCAGGCACCAGAGGTGGGCTGGATAGCTCGTTGGACTCGGACTCGGACTCAGAGTTGAAGTCCATGAACGATGCAGAGTCGGAGGCAGTCACAGGCGTGTTCGGTTCGCTCCTCCGTCTCCCATTCGCGTCCATATAAATCGTTTTCCCATGCTCCAGCGCAGGCCAGGTGCCCTGCGAGTCTGCTGGTGATTCGGCCGACCTCTTCGGGACTGGCCACGGTGGGACTGGTCGCACGGTCATGGGCACCTGGCCAAGCATGTTCATCGAAGCGGCCGGCCGGTGGCCTGGGGCTTTGTTCTTTCCTTTCGCTGTCGTCCTCGGCTCCGCCACGTCCAAAGCAAGGAAACTCGTGTCCTTGCTTGCACCGTCCAACAGAATATCCGCTGGGCCGGGGGTCTGGCCGAACATCTGAGCAAGTTTCCGGCTCTTCTTGATCAGCTGAGCCCGCTCGGAGGGGTTCAGGAAATTAGTCGTCGGAGGCATCGTCGCTGGGTGCTGCGAGGGAAGCGGCACCACAGGTGGAGGGGCAATGGGTGACGAGGGGACAGTCTGCGATGTGGGCCGGCGTAAAGAACGGAAATCAGGTTTAGGCGTGGTCGGGATCGGAGGTTTCGCTAAGTCCAGGACCGGACCTCGTTTTCTCGGCACAGGAAGAGGGGACGGCGGTGCGGCCGCTAAGGGGCTTAAACTGCCCTTCGTGAATTGATCATCATCGTCGTAAATAGAGGATCGTGTCTTCTTCATTCCATCCGCCACAGGAGAAAACATGTCCATGAACGACTCACGACCGGGCGACGCGGGCATTGGGGGACCAACAGAAACCGATAAAGACGTCCCCTGAGAGGGCATGGACCCTTCGTTGGAGGACGAAGACGTGCGGGAGGACGCCTTGACGAGTTTGCGAGGGTAAACAACTGCGTCTGCTGTGCGAGGCCGTCGGGGTATCTTCAGCTTGGACCTCAGCTTCGCTTTATCCTTGTCCACTATCTCCTCTCGACTCGACACAGACCCCTTCGAATGGGGAGCAGACTCTCTGCGAGCTTGGGATGATGACCGTCGTCGCTCAACGGTCTGTGCTGCCGTAATGGGGGCCCAGGCTCGGCTATCAGTGGCTTCCTCGCCACCAAAACCACCATCTGCCTGCGGCGTTCCTTCCATCTTCGCATCCTGTCCGCGAGGCCTCGTGGAGGGAGACATTGGCATACCGCCGATGGATAGTGACGACGATCTCGGCGGAGGCGAAATCGGGGACGCCATCACCGACGACTTTGCCAACACGAACTGGGGTGCTGGATTGATATACGGATTATTCTCTGGTCTATGCGCTCCATTGCTGCTCATGGGTGTCGACGGACTCATCGGGATAGGGCTCATCTGCCCCATGAAGGGCGAGACGGGAGATGCTGAACCACCTGTGCGCGTGCGACGCGGCGGTGGCGGCAAGCTGGTGTGACCCGTCGCCGACGAGTCGTACAGCGTGGACAGCGAACTGGTGTGCGCGTGGTGCATGGGATGGTGGGTGCGCCGCATGCGCTCGTCGTGCTCGAGGAGTGCGTCCAGGTTTGGCGAGATGACGAGCGAGTGCAGCTGCGCTTTCTTTTCAGAAGGCCCGCGAGCCTCGGCCCTCGGAACCGTGCTCTGGCGCATCTGGATGTCCATCGCGTGCTCGGGGTGCGTATGGGTGCGCAAGTGCGAAGGAGGTGGGAGAAAGGATGAAAGGTGTCAACGGGGGCGTGCTTGTGTCTTGCCAGGTTGTATGTACTAGGCAAGGCGTCGATCTCACAGAAGCCCGCTACCATCCGAGGCCCGGTCAAACCGCGCCTGTCTACTTTGCCTGAGTGTGGGTATAGTTGACTAGGATGGCCTGATTGAACACAACCTCAATGTGCAGCGCCGCAAACCTCTGATGAGATGGACGTGTCCGCAACTTTCCAGATTGATGATCGAATGGCCCTCTTTTGTCCGGTGCCTGTATGCGCGCGTGTGCGCTCAGCGAAAGACCTCACTCCTGCGAGGATCGTGGTGCCCAGGATCAAAACTCCTTCCAGAATCTAGACCTCCGGTCTTTCTGTTGTGCGATTCCCATGTTCAGATGTTCACTGCTTCTTCCACTTTCTAACTTTGCCGATATGTTGCCGACGGACCGAGAGCCGCGACTTCAAGCCATCGGACAGGACCCCCGGATCTCATCCCGGAGCCGTCCGACGGTCGCCAAGCCGACACCCGTGCCACCGATCAGCCGAATCGGTCGGTCGTATTTTCCTGTTTGGGAATGCAGCGTTGAGTCAGACACGGTTGTGCGAAAGCGAGGTGCGCAGTCGAACTGCAGCATGATCATGTTACATTGCGTTATTTCGTTGTCACATTGTCTTACAGATACTGTATCTACAGCTGACATATGCCGTATTGAGTCGCGCACCCGATAGCCAGAACTCATCCATTCATGAGCTGTAAACGGAACAATTTTCAAATGAAATTGACCAAGATCTCATGGACTAGGGCCTACCTGCTAACCAGATACGCCAGAATGGCTATTGACATGTCAGTCCCGTGGCAAACGCCGCCCACCTCCTTTGCAACTTATGACATAATTTAGGAACCGACTGAATTTTCCGCGAACGGCGGGAGTCGCAGACAACTGCGGGAATCAATCAGTGGACTGACATCCATGTATGCCAGTACAGTGGAGTGGAGTGCCTTGTATGTAGAGCAGACTGGCAATTGAACCGTGAGAACGAGTTTGTGTCAAGGCAGATGGTGATCACTCGCTAACCAAGGCGAGGGGAACAGTCCCTTCCGAGGCATTCCGATACACGCAGATTCAGATCCTCTCTACCAGCTTTGGGGGTTCAGGCAAGACCACGATGTCCGCCACACACCTGCTGGCGTGTCATCAGCATCACCAGCATCGTGGTTGCGTCGTGCTGCATTTTGGAGAGGATCTCTGGCCAGGTAGTTACAGGATTTCGACTGTTGAAACGAGTTCTACTCCCGTGTATGATTGAACAGTAAGTTGTTCCGAGCTGATATCGATCCCCGTCACACACACACGCATGCACTGGAAGAAACAATCCGTTAATGGAGCGCCGCATCATCTTCATCGCCTCACTGCTTCGCGTGAAGCCAGCAGCGATCATAAACATTCTGGAGAATGAGTGAATGGGAATAACTAGACGACAAGACCAGTAGACATGGTGTCGTGGTTCAGTTACCTGACATATTTCTCTGGACTTCATAAAGCTTAGGATAGGTCTTCAAGTCCCCAAGCAACCACCAGTCATGAGACGGGGTCAAAAATCCACCGCAACACGATCAAGTAGATGTCTGTGACCAGAGCACGTGCATGTGACTTACCGTTCTCTAAGTTTTCCCATCCATCCTCCTCACATCGACGCCACTGCGTAGCCTCACCTCAGTCTAACATGTCACAAGAACACGAAGACGTGAAACCAAAACTGGAGCTCATCCTCGTCTTCAATGACAAGCGTCAGTGTCCCACACCCATTCCCTCATCTCCCACCGCCTGCCTACAGGTCGAGACGAGTCTGCCGCTGACGCGTCTTCGTAGCGATCACTGTGAAAGTCAAATCTAACACCAAATTCGCAAAGATATTCGCAGCTGCCGAGGTGACGCTCCACTTCTCAAGTTCTCTACGCACAGCGGCTGATTTAGTGTCTCTTGTCAAGCAACGGTTCGGCAAGGAGCCCGGTGCGTTTTGAGCGAAGACGCGTGTGTGTGTTCGCGCTCGAATGACGCGATGTATCCAGGAACGTTCAAATTCGTCCATGAGGACAAGCGGATCAGCAAAGACGAGACACCCGCGGAGTGCGTGCTGTAACATATCTGCTGCACCGCGTCTGACCGCGTTTCATCGGTGTAGTTTGGGACTAGAGAACGAGGATCAAATCGATTGCTTGTGGGCTGCTATCTGCGCTGTGGTGTGCCTTGATGCTGACTTCTTTTCGGCCTAGCCTGGAGCAAGTAGGCGGTGGTTCCAGGACCGCTCTCCGATCACGACATTCGCACTCATCTCGATCCGAGCAGTGATTGTACTAGTACAGCAGAAACTATAACATATTTTGTATTAATCCCTCAGGCGAAGAGGGGCACATGCTCGACCCAGCTCACATCCGCCGGCGCCCTTAGTTCCCACTCAGCCTCGAGCGCCACCGATGCTCCAGACTCGACGCTCCACATCCACTCGAACCGCCCATCTTTCTCGCCCGAGCCCTTGCCCCACTGGACCTGGAGGCCTGCCTGCTGGAGCTTGACCAGCTCGCCGTCTTTCGAATCCGCCAGGCCGTCCGGCTTGCGCAGGATGACCTTGGCGCGCTTGTCGTCGCAGGTGGGGATGACGTCGCGCACGAGCAGATCGGCGAGCTTGAATGCGTGTTTGTTCGTGATCGTGATTTTGGTGGTGTAGGTCGTTGTGTTCATCGTCTCTTGGAAGGAGCCGGCCGACGCTGTGACGGTCTTGGAGCTCCGCGCGTAGGTGACCTTGGTCGAAACGTCGTGGCCGAGTGTGCACGTGAACGTGTCGCCTGTATTGATTTCCTGGGGAATTCCTTCAGAACGACGAGAGACAAACAGTTAGCTTCACTGACCCCGATGGACGTCTTGGATACGAAACTGTCATTGAGCACGACAGTTACCGGTCCCGGCAACAGCCTATATTCGCTGACATTCTTCACGTGGCACCGCAAGTACACCCGGGATCGATGCGCGGGGTGCAGATATGCGAGATCTTGGCCTCAAAAGGCAGAATAGCGATCGACACCTGGTGCGCCGTCCCGTCACTGGGGACCGTCGTGTTACCGTCGACAGCATAGGTCATCGCCAGCGGCGTCTCGCTCACGATCGTCGTCGGCCCAGATTGCACATCCGGGATCGCAATCTCCTCGAAGTCTTCCGACGGCCCGACTTCGATGTCGCCGTCTGCCGGAGCAGCAGCAGTCGCTAAGGTCGTGGTCCCGCCTCCGCCGAAGGCACCGAAAGCTGCGCCCGTCGCTGGGTGTTGTTGCTGTTGTTGCGCAGGCGCCTGCGAAGACCCGAAAAGTCCCCCACCGGCCGAGCCAAAGATGGAGGTGCCGGAAGGAGCCTGCTGCGGTGGTCTCTGACCAAATAAGGCTTGCGGGCCCATGTTATTCGAAGAGGCCTGGGGGAGTTGGTTTTTGAAGCCCGTATGATTGTTGTTGGAAAACAGCCCTCCGCCCCGAGCTTGCGCCTGAATCTTGATCGGTCGGAGCAGAGGGATGTCCTTGACCACGGTGGAAGCAGCGACGGTGCTCAGTGTGAGTGCCGTATCGGTCCAGTCTTCCCCGGTGCTTTGGACGATGCGAGCACGGTAATGGAGAGATACAGCGGACTCTGGTTTGCCGTTCGTTGTGGTCGAATGCAGCTCATACGCACTGTCCCATGCGGCATTCGCAACGACTAGGAAAGATGAGTTAATCGACCAAGAGCTTAAAAGCAGAAACGCACTGTAAGTCAACTTGAGCTCAACGCTGGTCGCACTATCGGCCCCGACGACGATGACGACCTGTCCCTCGGTTGCGCCTTTCCTCGCTGCCGACTTCTCGCGCTCAGCCTCGATCTTACGCTCCACCGCGACGAGCTTCTCATCGATCTCGGCCACAGCCTCGAGATTCTTACGTCCCTGTTGCACGAAACTCTGCAGGAACTCAACCATCTCCGCAGGGGGGACATGTTCACCCTTGAGCGTCTTGGCGTAGTTGACGAGCACGTCCGACTCGTGGTCGTGCACGCTTCGCTGGCTCTCGAGCAGCTGCTTCTCCTTCAGCAGCAGACGCACGGCCTCACCCTCCGCTGCGGTTGGCTTGGATCCCGGAGCGAGGGCCGTGCACACCACATCGAATAGTCGCGCTTCGCCGAGCCCCGAGACGCGCACAGATTGCGTGTCGATGCAACTAGGCAGCTCAGTGATCTCGATTTTCGTGTTTCCCGGCTTGCAATGGTGGATTGAGTCACGTTGGATTTCGGAGTATGCGATAGCATGTACAGAGATGTACACGACTGAGGAGCAGGAAATGAGCTCACCTGGAGGTTGAGGGGGAAGACGCGCACGATCTCTGCACTGCTAGTCTTCCCCGCCGATCCCGCTCCGAAAAGGCCCTGGACAGAACCGCGTTTATAAACAGTCACGGACTTGATAGCTATGTAGACGTTAGGAAGCCGAGGGTAGACAACATCATAGTAGACACTTGCAATTGACGCGAGCAGATAGTTTCAGGGTACGCGCCATGGATGGATGTCAGATGATTGAGATAGAGGGCTGGTCAGACTTTATACAGGAGCTTGATGATCATTCGGCAGCGAATCAGCTCAAGTCATCGACGGACATGTCAAATGACTCGTGGCGGTGTAATGATGTCGCGTTGAGTAGCCTTGACGATATTTCTCGCGTGTATATATTTACAGAGCTCTTTCTCATTCATACATGCATGCAATGCACTATGGCTTAGAGGGTCTTGAGAGAGAGTGAGATAGATGCCTGAATTCTTATGATGCATATGATTACATGTTATTCATCCTTACCATATAAGGCACGATGGCCGAGTGGTTAAGGCGACAGATTCGAATTTCCTCTTATCTGTTTCGGTCTCCGAGCGCAGGTTCAAGTCCTGCTCGTGTCGTTTTTCTCCTTACTTTTGCCCTGACCGTGTCCTCATTTCATCTACATCTAGATATCTACGCATACTACGCGCGCTTGCCATTGGATGCAACATGATAAAACTGGTACACCTGTTGGGACGCGTATGATACAGCTATTACTACACATGATACACTAAGTCCTATCCAATTCAGGCTGTGCGCATCTTCTTCGACGGCTGGGCACTGCCCCGCTCCTCGTCCTTACGCTTCTTGCCGCCGCTGCTGCCATTCGTAGCGGCACCAAGACTCGCTCGCCACGCAGCCACCAACTCGAGATACCGGTTCCGCAAGCTGATGGCCATGAGCCCGACCTCCGACTCCAGCCCGTTGAACAGAGTCGAGTTGTTGACCATCAGCTGCATGTCCGCATCGAACGCATCCAGCGAGTCGTATTTGTCCGCGTTCAGGTTCGCTCGGATAGTTCGTAGATCGCGTGGGTTCTTGACGACATCGAAGTAGGTCGGAATCTGCAGCAGGACTGGGTCGACGGGTTCGCGGAACAGCCAGGAGCTAGCCACGACAGTCAGTCAGTCTGCAATATAAAGAAGAAAAGAGGCAGCAGCATCACGCACATGTCCTCCTTGACCAAAGTGTTCAACAGTCCTTGCATCCCACGTTTCTCCGTCAGCGAGAGCTTCCGCTCAGTGAGCTTCGGCCACTCTTTCTTGTAGGCCTTCTCGATCACATCCGCGCAGTTCACGGGGAACGTCGCCGGCGGGTTGAACTTGCGGCAGTTGCGCACCATCAGGTCGAGGTCGTCTTTCACCTGCTCCATCGTCGCGTATTGGTGCGCGGAGAGCTTGCTCGATATTGTGCCTAGGTCCATCGGATGTCGGATCTCTTGATAGTATCTGTCAGTTGATGGTCAGTAAGTATGCGGAGGATAGTGACCACGCCACATACGTCGGACACCCGTCCAGCTCTGGATTCACTGGACGTAAGAAGATACCAGCCTCTGGCAGCTTCATGAGCATGTTCAACAACTGCTTGATCTTCTTCTCATCGACGGGAATGCCCGACTCAGCAGGCCGCTCTTTCTTAATCCGCACCACCTCCTTCTCCTTGCCTTTGACAGATGCCCGAGGCACATCCACCGATGATGAACGCGACGGTGCCGCCGCAGCCGTCTTGAGTACGATCTTGGGTATCGGTGCTGGTGGTGCTGGTGGTGCTGCTGAAGATGAGGATGACGACGAAGGTTCCGCCGCACGTGCTGGCCGAGTGGGCCCTGGCTTCGGCTTGGTCACCAACGCCAACAGATCGCCATCCGGGTCTTCTGCTGGTGTAATCGGCTGTTTCCGTTTCCCGTTGACCCGATGCTTCTTGTCCTTGTCCTCCTGCTCGCGTTCGAGAGCAAGAACCTCTTGCAAGATGTCGTGCGATCCGTCGTCGACGTACGGCGGCGGAGGCTGCTCCACGGCTGGCGACACTTCCGTTCGAGACTTCTTCCGAGGCGGCTTAACATTAGGCTTGGACTCGGCTTGTGGAGGCTTTAGCTTGATTGTCGGCTGAGAGGACGACGACGACGAAGACGTTGCTTCCCGAGCTGACCGTGCGGCTGAGGCAGCTGCTGGTTTGGGGCGGACTGGGACCGGGGCTGTCGAAAGAGGAGGGGGAGGTTGAGCGATCGCTCGTTCCGCATCAGCAGCGACCTTGTTCTCGAGCGTCTTCGTCATCATACTCCATTCTGCACCTCCAATTTCAGCAAGGGGTTAGAAGAACAAGTCAGTACACGCACGCTTTTCGAAGAAGGTCTCGAGCGCCAGCATCTCATTGTGCGCGAACGTTCCCACCGGATTGTACTTTTTCGCGTTGGCCATCATCAGCCGGAAATCAGCCTGGAACGCAAAGCGATCTCGGTACATCCCCGAGTCGAGCTTGTGCGACATCGTGCCAAGGTCGATAGGATTCTTGATGACGTTGAAGTAGCTGTGTTCCAATCATGAGTCGTGGAAAAAGTCAAATCGGATCAGACCCACTTGGGCGCGTTATCCCGTATTGGATCCACAGGATGCAAGAAAATCTTAGCATGCTTGTTGTTCTGCAACTTCTTCAACACATTCCGGGATGCCCGGAGATCCATCAGTGACATCCCCGCAGCCTGGGCCTTGAGAAGTTTTGCCGGTTTCACATCTTGAACGGGCTGAGGAGCAGGATGTGACGGTTTGACCTTGGCCTTGGCGAGGGGGACTGCTGCGGTTGCCTTCGACTTCAGTGGCACAGCTGGTACCGCAAATGAAACTGCCCGAGATGAGGCTGTCGTTGGAGGTGGAACTGGCCGAGATTGCGACGGGCCTCTCGCCGGTGGTGCAGTCCTGGCCGCTGGAGTTGGCCGGGTCGCAGTTGCTGGCCTGGTTGCGTTCGCTGATCGAGCTGCCGGTGCTGGCCGAGCTGGAACGGGTGCCCTGACCAATGGCGGCCTCACCGGTGGTGTCACACGAGCTGCAGGCTCGACGCTCCCTGTGGAGGTGCTGGGGGTCGACTCCCGTGGTGTCGCAGGACGGAGTTTCAGCCTGGGAGGAACAGGCGTTGAAGCCATGACCGGACCTGGGCTTGCGGCAGTGGCGGGTCCGTTGATCTTCAATGGTCGAGCTTTAGCTGGGACAGGAAGCTCGGGTGCTTTCTCGGCCACTGGGGTACTGGCAGAGATATGAATCTTGACAGACGGAGCAGTCTCCTCAACTGGCTTGATAAGGAGATCCGCCAGCTTTAATAGACACAATCGGACGTCATGATCGACCTCGGGCGCACTGCGAATGAAACCGTGAGTAAATGCTTGGAGAACGGTGATGCACATTGGCGACATACAGAGCCAGCGGCATCAACAAGTCTCGCAGCACTTCGTTTTTGCCGACCTCCTTATCCTTTCTCAAGGCCTTGATCATGGCGTCCATCTCACTCTTCCTCGTCTCTTTGCTCTTCTCCTGCACTGATCCATCCTCCTCGATCAACAGGCTTTCGTTATCCTTGCCGTTCACCTTCATCTCTCCCATCTGGAAGAGCAACGTTAAGCTCTGGCAGGCAGCACGAGCCACGTGCCGTCGAATAACACGGCAGGGATCGCCGGCCATGACAGCCATCACGTAGTTCATGATCGGTGGCGAAAACCATTTGGTCATGAAAAATCCGTCAAATGCAGCGATTCGCACTTGCGTTTGGTTGCCTTCTCGAGTCAAGGGCAGGAAGTGGAGTGGGGAGCTTGGGATCAAATTTGCCACCATCAGCACGAGGTAAAACTGCGAGAGCCTGTCAGCTACACAAGACAAGGATGCAGATGAAACAGACCTCGAGTGCTGCGACGGTGACAACGTTGTGTGTGGACGGAATCAAACGATCCATCGACCTATACCGATCCACCTCTCCAATACTCTGCTGCAACAGGTCGGCATCTTCTTCATTGTACTCGGTGCGTACTTCCGAGGGAAGCAGCTCTCCTCGTTCAGGAGAAGCCGTGGACACCGCAGAATAAGCGGCGGCAGATATTATCATGCAGATGTAGAATCCGTCAGAGTACTAGCAATTGTGTGGAATGAGCGCGCGCGGCAGAGCAGATAAAAATTAGAACGCACAATATTGGAGGTATTGTCGTTATATTTGAGTTGATCAATGAGAAATTTGCGGACAACAGATGGCGATTTGCCATTTTCAAAGCGAATACGGGATATAGCGAGGATGAGACTCTGTGACACTGCGTCAACATACCGAAATATGCCGTTATGGAGCAGACAATCTACCTTGCGAACAAAATACTCCGGAAGGTCAGAGAAATCATTGGGCTTGGGAACATAAGTATGGGCGAAAAGGTCTTGGTTCGGATCTTCGGGTTCATAACAATGTCTGAGGAAAAGCTTGAATAGATGGAATAAGCCAAGGTACTTGAGCTTATGTGTCGAGCACTGGAGGGGAAGGTGAGCGGGTTGAGAGTGAAAAGACTGAATACCGCACGTTGACCAGAGCTAAGGCAGCCTCACATCGTATCCTGAAGTAGTAATTGGACACGAGAACCGTCTTTGTCAAAGTACTCGACACGATGGCCGTAGGCTGTTGCGCCAATGCGTGGAGTGCCTAGTGTATAGAATTCATTCATTGAGTTCGATGACTGAAAAAAGATGACAACACGCACCTCCAGCTGGGCAACAACATCTCTATCGCGCTGCAACTGTGACACCCACATGAAATCCGGCTGTTCGAACTTGATATCCGCAATCCACTCAAAGTCCGCGTCCATCCGGATCCACTCGTAAGTGGCGCCGCTCATGGCATTCTCTTCCTCTTCAGTCCAATCTTCGACCTTCCAATTGTTGCGCTCGCTCTCCTTTTCCCAGACTTCCAGCCCGAAACCCATGTCCACCATGCCCATTGCCTCAGCGGCTTCCGTGTCACCTTCGGCTGCAGCCTGTGCTGCAGCCTGGCGAGCGAGATACCGCTTGGTGTTCCGACGGACACGCTTGTATTTTGTGTTGAATGGCACTTCGTAGCGCTTGAACGGGGACTGGATATCCAGCACATGTTCGTAAGGTGTTCCATCAGCCTCGTGAATCCGAACGGTCATTTGCCCCTCGAAGCAGGCTACGGGCTTGAGCATCACATTGGCATGATCGTTGCCCTCGAGTGCCTTGAAAGCAGCACATTCTTGCCGCATCGTTATTTCAACAGCCATCTTCTTCCTGTTGAAGCTCGCATTGAACCAGAACATCGGGCATCCGCTGCCATAGATCCACTGCTCAGCGAACATCCGCAGATCCACCCCGCTCACTTTCCGGCACGTCCGGAGGAACATGTGCGTCGATATCGTGTTAATTTCGGCGCCGAGAGCAGAGAGGAAGATTTTCGGCAGCACACGCGAAAGACCGAGCGAGGTGCCACTTTTGCCCAGCTTTCGATCGAGGATGTGCAGTACCAACGGCGCCTTGAGATTCACAAATGCGATTTCCGACCCGTCAGGCGGCTCCAGACGTGTCGGCTGGCAGAGTGGTGCTTCCCGGCCAGTATCACGCTCCACAACCCGTTGCATATCTTTCTTCAGCCGGAATCGGTATTCGTTGTTGCCCAGTAGCTTCTTCATGAAGAGGCCGGTGATGTATAACGATAACCCGTTCACCAACCATGTGTCGGAGAACACCTTCGGTTGAATGTTAACGCCCATCCACTGACATGCAAGTGCATGAGCCAGCGCATGACGAGTTTCCAGGCATTGTTCGATGGCATCTTCTCCGTGCAACAGGTCCACGGTCAGCAATGTGAACGTCGAGCTGTCAAATCTCTGCGTCGGAAGTTCGTCCACGAACACGAGCTTGTACGAGCCGAAGGGGTAAGATCCAAATTCAGTCGTGTAGAAGCTCATGGCGGTGCGCAATGTGGATGTCGACGTGGTCAACATGCTCTCGTGTCCCGGAAGGCAAAATGCATGTATAGGCGGTTGAGTAGATGTTCCATCCTCGGCGATTTGATTCACGGGAATGGAATACATGTGGAAGGGACCGGCAGCGAATGCGATATGTTGCACAGATGTTAGAGCGGCTTGCGAGAACAAGAAGATAGTCTTGTGGGAGTTGTACGGATGGGCGACCTGACCCGTAGTTCAGCATGGAGTAAGCGAAAGGAGGTTGCGGGGCGCACCTGCTCGACCAACTCCCCACTGCAAACAACCAATGTCGGATTGGCATCCGTGGACTCTCCGTCTTCAAGAGACACATCTTCCAGATATCGGGGCACCACGAATTCAAACTCCCATGTACATTTCTCCCACGGACTGTCGATGCAAGGAACCCAGCAACGGGCTGCATCGGGAGATGACGGAGTCGTATAAGCGTGAGGGACACGCTGAAAAGTTCGTTGAATGGGTGGTGCGCCAGAGAATTTCCAACACATACATAGGGATACGATTCGGTAGGAACCACAAACTCGAACCCATCGACCGGGTTCCGGAGACTATACCAAATCTTGATGGATATAGGAGCGAATTCTTGTACTGTCTGGGATGGTCCGGACGTCGACGGCTCCGGGGTAGCCACTGTCCAAGCTTCAGAGTGTGTCAAGAATAGGCAGATAGCCAGACATACAGTCGTTATGGACCTGGACTAACGAAGAGCCCGAATACTTCAAGGCTACCTCCAATGGAACGGCAATGGAAAGTTCTCCCTCTTCACTTTCTTGGAGAGCGGAGTAAAGTTTTCGCTTCAATTCCGGGTGTCTGTGACAGTCCAGCGGTTCGCCTGGGTTTCCGACTGATAGATTGGCGAGAGGATCATGGTGGATGAAATCGGCCTTCAAGTTCGCGACTGTGACGTCTTGGATAGCTAAGTGGACGAACGGTTCAAATCATCCTTATACGGCGGTAGGAATCGGCATACTGCACTGTCTCGAGTGAAGGTTGATAGTCTTCAGGTCCTTGCTCGTAGGCACAATGGTGATCTCCGTATATCCCTGTCGCAACTGGTCAGACTTCCGCCACAAGCGCCCTGGCCAACGGCTTCACGCACCCATAGGCATCCCGTAAAGTCTATCTCCAAAACGACCTTTTGATGACTAGTAGATACCGAAGAGATGTCAGTAGGGGCGTGTTAGAGGCAGTGAAGGCACGTATATGGAGAAGCCGCGACGTGTTTGCTCCCTCTGAGAATGACTCCGACCGTCCATTTCAGTCGCACTTGATGCAGGTAGTATCAATTCAAGGGTCTATCGCGCGAATGGAGGAGTTTCGAGAGGATGAGCAGAAGTGTAAGGCCTATGCTGGGTCCGCCAATGGAGTTGGCGTGAGCATGGACGCTTGTCACTGTCACTGTCACGTTTGTAACTCTCACCCAAACACCCATGATCAACAAAGCTTTGACTCGATTCATACTCGGTGGTCGAAGCTCCCCAAGCAAGAAATAAGGGAATGATCAATCTCCGTGACGAACGACGAAAACTTTTACTCTCTAGCTTTTGCGCGCACGCTTGCTCTGTTGTCTGCAAGGCTTCCTTACCATTGCGTTCTCGAATGTTCCAAACATCCTTCAAATAAGCACAGCCCCGCCACTAAAGAACTACCAGTTTGACCTCTGGTCGTGTCTTTCCTTGGCTGCCTCTTGAGGAGCTTGCGAGACGCATGTCTCACCTCCACACCTGCTATTTATCACGACACAGTGGGGCACGCATGATCGGAAATTCGGATTTTGGAGTGGATGGCCCACGTTTATTCAATGTCCCAACTTGCTTCCTAACCCGTTCTTGATCATGAGCCCCCAACATGCCCGAAAGACTCTCTGGATATTTCTCTACATCTGACACCGAACATCGCAATAGAATGCTCCCAAGGAGTTCAATCTGTAGTCGTAAAAACTCTCAGTACTTTCAATGTATACAGGTTATATCAGATGAAAATTCGCAATGAAACTCTTCAGCAACGTACCCATAAAGTGGGGCGTCGCACAGATGATAGAATCGCTTACACCGCAGAATCTTTCTTTTGAGCGTTCAGCTGGCTTTCAATTTGCGTCGTCATGTATTCGGTTGTGTCCCTGGTCGCGGGCTGCAATCATTCACCGCATCGTTCAAATTTCTGCTAATCTTGATCGTGACTCCACCAAAAAGGTCACAACAACACTCATCTCTGCCTCCCATTCGCGATGCGGTACTACGAACAAAAATATCCCGAGGTCGATGAACTTGTCATGGTACAGGTGCAGCACATCGCTGAAATGGGTGCCTACGTTCGGTTGCTCGAGTACGATAATACAGAGGGCATGATCCTACTTTCGGAGCTTTCTCGTCGTCGTATCCGCTCAGTCCAAAAGCTTATCCGTGTCGGCCGCAACGAAGTAGTCGTCGTCCTGCGTGTCGATAACGAGAAAGGCTACATCGATCTATCGAAGCGACGAGTTTCTCCTGAAGATATCACCCGCTGTGAGGAACGCTATATGAAGAGCAAGAGCGTTGCGAGCATCCTTCGACATGTTGCTAGCAAGCTTGGTGGCGATCTCCCTGGAGAAAGGGAGAAGCGTGCGCGTAAAAAGGGGGTCGAGGAGGAAGCACCAGCACCTGTCGTTGAGGATGCACCGGCTGTTGGTGGAGAGGCTGAACGCTTGGAGATGCTTTACGAAACGATCGCCTGGCCCTTGGGGCGTACTTACGGCCACCCCTACGATGCTTTCAAGCTGGCCTTGACGTGCGTGCTCATGATAATCAATCGTTCAAGCTTTTTCTTACATCTTTTCGTCAGCGAGCCAGAGACTGTGTTCGGTTCTCTTGCAGCTCCGATCCCCGAAGCCACCCTCACTCTCCTCACTACTACCATCGCTCGCCGTCTGACCCCCCAGCCCATCAAGTTGCGTGCAGATATCGAGTTGACGTGCTACACTCCTGCTGGGATCGATGCCATCAAGCGGGCTCTGAGAGCAGGGGAAAAGGCAAGCACGGATGCGGTCCCAATCAAAGCAAAATTGGTCGCCCCGCCGTTATATGTCTTGAGGTATGTTGTTCAGATGTCCCGATCGCGCTCTTGTTCAAACTTGGAAACAAAGCACAAACGCCACCGACAAGTTCGCTGCAGTGGAACGTTTGGAACGCGCCATCGAAGGCATACAATCCACCATCGAAGATGACGGAGGGAACTGTGTTGTCAAAATGAAGGTGCGGGGGTTCCCTATGTTGAGGACTGGTAGAGATTCATGTCTTCCAAGCCCAAAGCTGTTTCCGAATCGGACGAAGCCGATCTGGCTCAACTCATGGCCAAGGTTGGGCAAGAAAATGCAGAGGTTTCTGGGGACGAAGACGACGAGCCAGAGCTGTAAATGTAATATACATGATGTGCACAGTTGTAATTGTGTTTCTGTAGATAACGTCGGCATTCTCAGGCATCTCGCAAAGAACCAGCGGCATTTTGATCGCCTTCCGAATTGGGAACTGAGATTTTTTCTCTCTGTACCACGAACCGCTGCTGGGATGCCTTCCAAATCCATATTCCGGCAACCAGGAGCGAAACACTTTCAACTTGTACATCGGTCCCAGCGTGATCCTCTTATCCACGATCCGGACGCTAGCAAACACGTCCTCAAACCGTTCGAACGCGATAATGCACGGAAAGGAAAAACTCGTGCAGATCTCGAGGCGGAGCTACCCAGTACCGAGCGAGCAAGAAATTTGGGCGAAGCTGCTGCGTATGGGATCTACTACGATGATTCGGACTATGACTATATGCAACATCTGCGTCAAGTCGGCGTACAGGAGGACGGGGTCGAGAGCACGCTCCTGGAAGCTGTCCCTAGGAAATCAAAAGTGAAGGGCAAGGGGGTGGCTCTGAAGGATGACCTGCCGGAAGGGGTTCTAGCATCCACGTCTGAGCTGCCGCGAACGTATGAATCCCAACAAGCCGTTCCGGCGAGCATCGCTGGTTTCCAGCCTGACATGGATCCACATCTGCGTCAAACTCTTGAGGCCCTCGAGGACGACGCTTTTGTCGATGACGGTCTCGATGATGATTTCTTTGGGGACTTAGTGGGCGATGGGGAGAGAGGAAGCGATGAAGAACTTGAATTCGAATTTGCTGAAGAAGGGGCGGAAGATCAAGAGGACTACGAGGAGGAGGATCTAGATGAATCTGCAGATTGGGAGGCCAGATTCTCGCAATTCAAGAAGCGACAGGGAGCAGCAACCGGCAGCGATGATGGAGCCGATGGTTCTGAAGGGGCAGACACTGTTGGTCAACTTCCCGAGATGTCCGTGATTGGAGGAAAGGGCAAGAGAAGAAGAAAAGGGACCAGTGATGCTTCGGGCTACAGCATGAGCAGTTCTTCAATGTTCCGAAATGAAGCTCTTCAAACGCTCGATGAACGATTTGATCAGGTACGCAGTAGAGTCTATCATTCTATTCCCTGAGCTGATCGCTTCGTGAAGATGATACTCAAGCAGTACAATTCGGATGACGAGACAGAGCCTTCCGAGGAGGATGATCTCGAGGATGACGACGACGACGACGCTCCTCAACTCATAACGTCCAGGGACGATTTTGAATCGATGATGGACGAGTTCCTGGGCGAATATGAGATCCTGGGTCGAAAAATGAAGCCGAAGCTCGATGGAGAAAGCGGAGCTGACAAACTAGAGACTCTCCGTCGCGCAATGGGGCAAGATGAGCGCGTGAGAATCGAGCAGGAGGGCGATTCTGAGGAAGAGGACATCTTGATGCCGCTCGACATCGACGACCGAAACGACCGATGGGACTGCGAGACGATCCTCAGTGGGCCTCGTCTTACTTAGTTGTGTGCTTAGCTCATTCATTTGCAGCAACGTATTCCAATCTCGAAAACCATCCGCGTCTCATTCGTGCACGAGACACCAGTGCACGCAAGATTGCCTCGGTGCCAAAGATTCTTCTGGACCCTCGTACTGGCCTTCCATCCGTAGCAGTCTCGGAAAAGACACTCAAATCCAGGACCGTTACGTTTGCTTCAGATTCCGACTCGGAGGAGGAGGACCGACCGAAGGGTGTCACGGTCAAACGCGACAAAAACGAGTCTAAGGAGGACAAGAAGGCGCGCAAGGCTGCGGTCAAGGAGGAGAGACAGGCCAGGCGAGTTGAGAAGAAGGCGACCAAAGAGATGTTTGGATCGGAGTTGAAAACACAGAAAAAGACGATAGGAAGTAAGGAGCAAAAGCTCAAGAGCTTGTAGTCGTTCCACGACCGATGTGCCGTACAGCACACTGTTACTGCCTCTATGTAACAATTGACGAGCTGACGACGATAGAGAAATTTTCATCATGTATATAGTAACTAATGTACTGAGACAATGTGGAACTATCAGTGCTTTCGACGAACTAATACGTCCGTGTGATAATGGCACGTATACCTAGGGATTGGTTAGAAACGGTAGAAAATTCGGTGAGATATGTCAGAGATCTTGGTGGAAAATGTAGTCTCATAGGGTCGAGCCCTCTGAAGTAGCAAATATAAAGATATAACATCATGTCGAGTGAAAGATCCTGGACCACAGAAAAGGGACTCACCATTAGAACTATCATGGATAATGCAACCCCTCAACGAACGGCATCTGAACGAGGAATGTGAAGGAAGGAAGGAAAGAAGACAAACGTCATGGTACGGAGTTGTATGTGTTTATGTACCAACTGCTATGTGACGCCATCAGTGACAGACGCGTTTGATGCCAGTCACCTGCCATCTCCAACTCAGACGCGAATGGCGTCCACAGACGCGGCTCCAGGACAAGCCTCTCTCCAGCTCGTGACCGAAACCCTCGGATTCTCTCCTCAAATACTGCTCGACGGTATCGTCAATACCGCCAATCATGCTGTGGAAGATGGCGTGAACGGTGTCGAAGACTACTTGCAGGAGATACCCAGCCAGGCAGACAGCCTTGAGCAGGGCCTTGTCTCGTTCCAGACTCTACTGGAATTCCACACCGATCTCGCTTTCGACTACTTCGAACTGTGGGCGAAAAGAAACATCTTTGCGATTCCGTCAGACTTGCCGGTTGTTCTTCCCCACAACGAGAACATCAACCTCACGCATACCATGGAGGAGGAGCAGGAATTGTTCGAAGAGCTGAACCGGTTAAGGAACGAGCTTGATGGAGTGCGGTTCGCCCTTCAATAGCATGGCATCTCACTGATATCGTTTGCATTTCTCCAGCAACGGCGATTACGGAGGGAACTCATGCAGGCTAAACGAAGGAAAACGAACGAGGTGGCGCGGCTCAGAAAGCTTTACGATGAGCTCGCACCGTACGAAGCAATGGGCGGAGCGGCATCACTTCCTTCCGCGCTGATTGAAATGCATAAATCAGTATCGAACCTCCCTGAACTCCAGCCTGCGACCATCTCCGCCCTCTCACAATTCAGGAGCACTGACGCGGGCACAAGACAGTGGGAAATGGGCAAGACAGGATATTTGAAGTGGGCGACCACACAGCTTCTTGCCAAAGCTAAGGAGGATGCCGCCGACGAGCTGCTGCCTGATGTCGAGAATGTGGAGATATTATCGCTAGCAAGCGCGGCTATGGATGCAGTCACAAGAGACTTGTCTACAGTCCCCATGCAAGAAGGCTGACCGCGGAGGATTTACCAGCCTTGTAGGCCACCTACCCATATTTAACCATGTCAATCAATGTATGCAGTAATGTAATCCACCTCTGGAGTTCGGGAGCAACTTGCGGTTTACGAGCACCAGCTTGAATTTGGCACGAAGCTTGATGCGTGCATCGCGGCCGACTGAATGCTTATTTCCAGTGGAGTGCCCACAACGTCGGATATGAATTAGCGCCTGCGATGGTCTGCTCCCGATGCAAATCGAACAAACGCTCCGGTGCACGGGAAAACCCAGGGATATGACTCTTGTAGAAGTCTTTGAAATGATTCGGTGGCGCCTGAATTCGATATATGGGTCTGGGGAGACTGTATAAGGATCCACATGGAGTGTAAAAAGAAACCCGTACCCACTGCATTATCCTCCTATTTAGACTTCTTATCGGCCCTCACGTCTCGGTTCACATCATCCGCAGCACTCTGTATGGCCTTAAGGACAGGTGGCAGCACACCCCAAATGAGAACACCCAAGACAACGGCTGCGACGAACAGGAACGGAACGAGGCCAGCAGGTAGAGCGCCCAAAAGCAAAGGTTCTAGCGTAAGAGTAAACGGGACTGATGTTGTTCCCGCCGCCGACAGCGCCACATGGCCTGTCCAAACAGAATATGGCCAGAAGGGAACCAGTTGGGGTGTCCGAACGCCTGTGTCCACAGCCCGAATCCGTGCATATCTTCTACGCGTTTCGGCCGAAGGAGAGGTGTTGTTTGTGCTGGACCATAGACCTCGGACTGCCGCGGCTTCTTCTGGAGACAGAATGTCGATGAAAAAGTCTGTGGGGAAAGACGCGGCGTATGAAATTCGCAATGTGTATCTCGAATGGGAAGAGTCGAGATCGAGCGTGTACCACAGCTCATGCGGGCATGGTTCCGTAGATTGAGTTACACAGATTTGGGAGCGTGGAGTTCCGAGTTGTGCGGGTAGTATCACCCAGTTCGCGGTGGAAGGTGCTGGGAGAAGTGGAGAGGGCGGAAGCGCTGGTACGTCCGACCGCGAATCCGTGTGGAAGTTGACAATTTCCGTGTTACCCCGCGACTTGATGACGCAACTCAGGACGGCCAATAGCGGGAGCAGCAGCTGCATCCGGCGAGGGCAGTGTGGGGAGGAAGAGAGGGCGATCACGGGGAGTCAAGTTAGGCAAACAACTTGCCCGATTTGTAGGATTTGGCAGTTTCGATCATTCCGCCGCGGCCATTACTTGCACGGTTCTTTCAACCAGCCTCAATGCATTTTCCAGTGTAGTGATCCTTCTACACTCTAGACTCTTTAGACTTCTCTCAGGGCAGAAACGGCCTTGACTGCTGACGCATACAACCATGATGAGCCCTGGACGCCTGGACAGCGACACTCGCATTTCCGGATCTGGCTATTGGCCCTTACGCTCTCTCAAACAATTACCCGACTCTCAGGGAGCGCAAGTATACGAATCTGTCTCCTCTTGCGCAGTCGATCCTATACAGAGCCTGGCCGCCGTACTGAGAAAGTGTTTCAGATCAGGAGCAGCAACCCGACTGCAGCTCGAATAATCATGAACGGTCCTTCACGGAGCTTGAGACTACCGATGGGCTGCTGATCCCACTACTTGCCTCTCGGAGCTCTTCTGACTCACTACCGGGGTCTACTTATGAGAGCGTGACCTCGAGAGTCCAGGGCAGCTGACGAGGGAAATCTGGCGCTGGCTAACAGCTGCTACTCGGCAGCAGTCTCATCCAGACCTCTTTCAGATCTCCGCAACTTTCTCGGTGGGCATAGCACCGAGATAGACTCACCTCACCTGGAGTTCTCGTGACTATTCTCATGACGGTCCAGTTCTCCCCGAACCCAATTGGCAACCTGTATTCTGGGTTACCATTTCCAGGGAACGTCCATTCCCCTTCCAGCTGCTCAGTGAGTTTGCTACAGCGGTCAAGTGCGCTATTTTTCAGAGCAACTTGTCTCATATGGTAAACGATTGTAGTCAAACGATTATGGCAGTTGTTGGCAGGCTTGATTTGTGATTCTTCACTATTTCCTACCTTCTGTATTCGGACTCCTTCTGCAGATCTTTACGATCTAATGAGGGCACTTGCCGGAAGGCGACGCCCTCCTGCTGGGGATGATGTTGCCTTTTTGAACATTCTTACGCCGCACTGCCACTGTCAGACATGTGATCCCGAAGCGACGCACGCGTTGATTCTGGATTGTTACCGCACCCATGGCTCAGGCTGGTCTGAATACCAACTACGTTATTGGCTGCCTTCTCTGCACAATCCTACTGCTATCTTACGCGTACCTGCTCTGGGCACTTCCGCTTACACACTTCACCTTCGTCGTCCAAATATTCCAGATCGTCCTGCTGGGCGTGTCCGGTCCCGCCGCTGTCCCCCATGACGCGAGAAAGTACGCAGCAGGACTCGTAGGTGCGCTCTTAACTGGTACGCAAGTGCTATTAGATGCCCGGTTTAAAGTTGAAGCAATCAACTCTGCGGTGCGAACTCGCAACAGGTCTTTTGATCGGACTAGTGGCAATCCAGCCCAGTCTTCCTTGGACGGCCACACCACCTGCCCCCAAAGTTACGATACCGATTCCAGGGTCACCTGTCCACCCCGCTATCCCCGCTGATTCCTCCGCCTCTGATTGGGGACTTGTCGGAGAATGGTCCATGGTCCTGTTCCACGTCGGCCTGTCCGCAGTTAACTTTCTCGCGGTCGTAAACATACCCTACGCCTTCGAAGCCGGCAAGCGGAGGATATCTACGCGAGCGTTGGTGCGGGAAGCCCTGGGAAGGTTCTCTGTGTCTGTGTTGATGCCACTGGGAGTCGTGCGTCGAGGATATGGTGTTGGCGAGAGCGGAGAAGACGATATTGGGATCCAGGTGGGCATGGTTTGTCTGTCCGTCCAGGCCTTCTTCAATATCGGTCTTATCGCAGATGGAAAACGGCAAGATGCGGTACTAGTCGGCTCCCCGCATCACTTGATATACTACAACTCGTTGCCCAACGATATGCTCGGGATCAGCAATGCCTGGTCCTTGCTTTAACGACGAGGGGGGAGGGGGGAGGGGGTTGCGACAAGGACGGAGGGCTCAGCTTCTGCACTCTCGACACTGCACGTTCCGAGGCCCGCACAGTGGTCTGCTGTGCAAGATTCCCGCTATCTAGGTTCCGGGGACCGGCGCACGAGGACGAAATTCTTTCTCGCGATGTCCTAAACGCGCAGCGCCTATAGAGAACCCGAGCTTCTGGGAGCTGTCAAGGTTCCGAGGAGACGGTCGGGTCCGGAAAGTGACTCTGGGATGCACAGAAGAACTCTTGCCAATCGAGCTTAGTTGTGACGAGTGCGCACGTAAACCGCGCAGTACGTTGGCCGATGATCCTATACACTGGGTTGGGTAACGGGCCCGATCAGCCTCTGCTGAGCCAGACTTGGCTCTTGAACGCAACGATACGCCGTGGCTGCAATGTGGAGATGAGACAGACAGAACTAGGCCCGTCTGACTCCTGGTGTCTACCGGTTTCAATGGCGTGTGAAACCAAAAGGGCCGTTCATCTTGGGAAATCACACTCGGATAGAGTTGTGCATTGGGAAGCGTTGTTAGAGCTGTGCCATGTGCTCACAAGCTCCGGGCACTCTTTGGGACGTTCATTCGTAGTCTCAGACTGTTTTCGATGCCAGCTGGCTCTCCGCCATGCAAGTAGCTCACTCCTTTACTTGGTCCGGGAAGCCCGTGAGCGGCAAGCTGCGCTGCTCAAGGATTTCCTTTTGTGGGTGGTTGTGGGTGTGATTCTTTCTGTACTGTGCACGTCAAGCTTCTGATTCGCGATTCCATTTTGATACTGTTCTTTTTGTGATTATCTTTGTGAGCGGAGGTTTTTCGATTTGGGATAGCTCGGATAACTGTCCGGACCAAGATTCGGGCTCGGGATTCTTCCTGTGCATGCAGCTGTTTCGCGGGGAAGTGGTTGGTATTCATCGGACAGCCTTTCGAGCGAGCGCTGGAACCGGTCATGAAAGGTTGCGCATGTAACATTAGACCCGTTCACTTCCAAAAGCAAGTACAAGTAGTTCGAACGGCTAAAGTCAGAGATGAGAGACAGTTTTTTGCAAATTCCTTTGGGTGAATGGCGCGTGAAGTGCTGTTGGCACTCGCGCTCGGCGGCGGCGAACGCGCTCTCCGAGACGGTTGTGGAGTTCCCCCGATCTGAATTCGCACCACCGCCTGTGTCAGCCGCGGTGGAAATGAAAGATGTGTGAAGTGGCTCAACTGTTTCATTCATCCGACTGAGAATTAGGCAAGTGATTGATGGCCTTTACAGCACTCCCTGCAAGTTCTTGTGATGATGAATAAGTACTTATGATGACAATAACATGATATGATATGATAAAGGTCTGGTCTGCCGGGACGATAGCCGCGTGATTTACGCCGATCAGTCTAAAGCGTACTGGGCAGCGGGGAGTGCTATCCCCAGGACGGCGAAATCTATGGTATTGGTCGTGAGTACCTGACATCCTTTTCGGATGGTGGGGGACCCGGGCCGGAAGCCGGCGCTTGGGGTGTGATGCATTGATATTATTTGGGCCAAGTGAACAAGGCAGTGGTCATCAGACTCGTGCTGTCTTCGCAAGGGCAGTTTCCGGACACACTGGGCATCCAGCGCCGGGCGACGCGTTCATCGAATGGCGCAGGGTCTGTTTATTATTATTGTCCATGGAGGATCGAGTCCAGGGTCAGCGCGCACGAACAGAACGACTTGATTCGACCTCAAAACTCTGATCCAGGTCGGATCGCATCGTCCTGGTGTTTCGAGGTTGGTCGTGGAAATTGCGCATTCACGCGGCGGACGCATTGCATTGACGTCGGGCCAAGTAAGATTTAAGCACTCGTGGGGAGTCTCCCCAGTTTTGGGCTTCAGATCTGATTAGGAACGCCACGAATCTGGATCCGACCAGAACGAAGAAGATTCCGGCCGATCACAGCCCAGGATGTGTGAGAGACACGAAGCAAAAAAAGGATCTGACTTCGAATAGATCCTTACAGCTCTTCATCCCATCGGTGAAGCTATCAAGCGCTGAGAGGTTGAATACACGGAGAATCGGTCTCGCTGTATGACCGTGCGAGCAACAGGGACAGACGAGCCATCGGATGGGCCAAGACTTGCATGCGGATGCTCAGGTGCGCACGACTCGCCACCTCGCTCGCACCAGTCCCTGGCTCCAGAAGCGGGTGAAAATACATCCAGCATTGTCCCCCCAGCGGGCCCAATTGCCTGGCACGTTGTTTCGCCAGGAAACTTTGAGTGTCCTAGACTGAAGAAAGTCTCAGTGGCTAAATCTGACACGCAGATCACTTCTCGAGAACATGCAAGGAAACGTGAGGCTTACCCCAGGGGGATATGCGATGTGCGATGGATGTGGGCATGTATTGATATTTCGTGATTGAGCAGCGAGGTGGGCCGGCCAGAAATCGTCCCGGTTTCTGGGTGATTGTGCTGTTTTGGGAAAGACTCACACGGTAAATCTCCGAGGATACTTTCCAGTGATGGGGTGCTGCCCTGAGTCGTAGATAAAGGGGAGACTGGTGGGAATGTCCACACGATAATGCGGATGGAGATCATCAAGCACAGTCCCAGTCAGATAGAGGGGAATTAACGAACGGACGGAGGAGAAGTCGCCGGATTGGAACTAGCAGGGCCAAAGCTAAATCACCTTCCACGTGGAAGCGTAGAAAATCAAAACGGATGCGGAAGGCTGTCTTGCGGACGAAACTTGCGGCCACAATGTGTGCAAGTCGCAAGGCAGTTGTCACAAGCAATGCTGGAGACAAGGCTAGTTTATGCAGCTCAGTCCCGCAATCCGCGCTCGCGATCGCGGAAAGAAGTCAAATCGCGACCTCTGACAGGGGACTCGGGAGCATGAATAACCCATATTAACAATTGAGCACATACTTATAGCGCAGTGGCGACTTTGGGTTAGGCCAGTCGGAAAGCTGTTTGGTGAGAGCTACTCCGGAATGAATCCGATTCCGGGCCCGAGAGGATCAGAATCTCAAAGGACGGGATTCAGGTCGGGGGTGAAATCACTAGTGCTAAGATTCAATTTGCTGTGCACGTTCGCTGTCAACAAGCTGTCGAAGCAGTCATGTCACACTACGCGAGTGATCTGTGACCGTCGTCTTCTCGTCCTCTTCGCTCCACGCCGAGCTCAGCTCACAGGGCTCGACCGCCGTTTACGAAAATCTTAACGACCTCTCAGCGACACCACATTTTTACCCGAGACCAACTCCATTTTTGGCTCTCTGACGATCTTTACAAGCTCACTCGCTTCATATCACCATATCACTGACCTCATACGATGTGGTGCGTCGCTGCGGCAAGCAATGCGAGAACATACAGTTTGCTGAAATGGTTCTATAGGTGTGACAACTGTCTGCTTGTTCTTCCCTTGGTGCGGTTTCCCCTCCTATCGGTGGGGCGAAGCTGACTGTGGGAACGTCGTTTCCAGAGATCCGGCGCCATTGCTTGGGCCCTCTGTATCGCGGTGCGTCGCATTAGTCTCCTCCCTCTTCGTTTGGTTTCTCAAGTCTCCTCAGATCTACAGTCTTGCCGGGGGCATTTTCCTGCTCGAGTATGGCCAATACCTTTTTTTCAATCGCCCTGAATGGTCAGAACACGCCCCGTTCATACCTGCACTCCATCCTCATGTCGATGTTCTAGGCAAATCTATGGTGGTGTTGGAATGGGTATCATGGGCCTCGCGATCGTCACCATCCTCGCTCTATCCAATGTGCGTATTGGGGGCCTTTTTTCTTCTAGCTTCCCTTCTGATGGTGCTCCACTCGGCAGCGTTCGTATGTCTTCACGCGGGCCATGCAATTTGTTTGGCCCTTTGCCATCGTTATATCGGCGCTGAGAGCCATCGTCATGATTGTGGAGTTGCAGCGAGGGTCAGTTCATTTCCCATCTTAATCATGTGCTACGGCCTGATTTGTTTGTCAAACAGAAAGGCAGCCATCGAATGGGAATGTAACAACGGGGGTGCGCTCTACTACGAGTCGGTCGCTAAGAATATCAGTGCAACGCCGGTTTGGCCGGCGGAGTTCTGCATCGTGGGGTACCCCACCATCAACGCATCGTTCATCGTGTCGTTGGCTGTGGATCTGATCTTCCAGGTGAGGACGATCTTTTCTGCATGGCAGCATATATGCTCAACAGCGCGCTTAGATTTACATGTTCTTCTTGGTGTGGCGGTACTCTACACGTTTGCTGACCTACTCTGGGATGAAAGGTCCATTTGGCAACGGTGAATTCCACTCAACCGGGTATAAGTGCGGGGACTGACGAGCTCGCGCAGGATACTACGCATAGGCTGGATCCGTTATCGCTATCTTCTCGGACATCTTCTGCTCTGATAGTCCACTTTATTTCTCAACCCTTCACGACCCACTGTGACGACTCTTACGACATACTAATGAATGGCCTCTTTTATCATGACTTATTCCCTTACGATTCGTGTATCTAGTTGTATGCATCCAGTGCGTCTGGTTGATTATCTTCGGGCTGATAAGCACACGAATCCCCTCAGGGCGGTGTTCGTAAATGAAAGGCATGTGCAGCGAGATTCTTCGGGATTCCCTCGGATCCCGGCCTTGCATGGTCTTGTGCTCCGGAACACGGAGGGTGAAGAGGTTTTGGTGGATCTAGATAGATGTAATCAGCGGTGGCCTTGCCGGCCTGACTCATTCTGGCGGTTCTGCGGTTCTGCCCGAGATCTCGAGCAGACCCAAAGTGTCCGATTTACTGTCCCAAAGAATGCCCAGGATCTGCTTCGGGCCTTTGGAAATCTCTGATCGCTCGGATGAGAATCTAACCCTCGATTTCACACCTAGCCTCACTTGTCACATAAATACTGCCGCGGAACCTTTCTCTTCTTTATTCCCCCAACAACTCTTCTGTCCTCCTCAGCGTCCGTCCAACGCACCTTCCCCCTCCTCCCTCTTCTTGTTATATTCCTGTGCTGCTCTGTTCATCCCCGAATTTCTTTGCCCCCTCCCCATTTACATCGTCGCCTCATCTAGCAATGGAATTCGACCACGCCACTGTGGACACCAGCTTCACCACCTACATGGACAGTGAATACCTCCGCTACCCGGACTCCTCCCCTGCTTCCTTTGACCAGGCCATGGATCGTGAGTCCGCGCTCCTTGACGATCAGTACACCTTTTAACAGCTTTGTAGTCCCTCCGAGCCCTACCTTCCCGATGGGCCTCGCACACAACTTGAACGAGGTTTACTATGCTCCCCCATCGCCCCCGGCTCAGAGCCTGAACTCCTATGCCACTCTCGAGACCGGCATTTCTCCGCCGTCTTTGCTCGGTCCCTCGTACACGCTCACCAACCCTGCTGAGAGCTCGTCTGGTCGTCGCGGTAGCGGATCTCTTTCGCCGCCGATCGGATCATACTCGCCCTCTGCCGCTGTGCCCCGATCGCTCGCACCCAACCGCCGCTTCAACCCCATGGCGCGTCCCCAGCGCCGCAAGACGCGCCGCAGCGACGATAGCGACGACGAGGACGAGGACGACTTCCAGCCGGCGTCGCACAGCTCAGATTCCCGGCGCGAGACCATCCGCCGTCAGCGCATCGAGTCCGAGCAGCGCCGCCGTGACGAGTTGAGGGACGGATACGCACGTCTGAAGGAGACCCTTCCCAGCACCAACCAGAAATCCAGCAAAGTGTCTCTGCTTGATCGAGGTGCGTTACATTTTCTTTTGGGCTAGTGCCGACGTTGACCGGCTGTTTAAGCTACGAACCACGTTCGCAATCTCGAGATCGCTAAGGCACAGCTGGAGAAGCGTCTGGAGGACCTCGAGGCATCAGTCAAGCACCTCCGCCATCTCAACGAGGTCTTGAGCGTGCGGGCTGTGACGCAGCCCCGCAGCATCGCCACTTTCTGAGCGCCTCTCGTCCCGGTGCCTGAAAAAATTCAAAAAAAACTTCCCCCTCTGGACCCCGACTGCATTTATTCTATATATCACGCCATCTCATTCCCCGCGACGTTTTTTTGCTCGACATCCTTTCGGCCCGGCGCCGCCTTGCTGCCTATCCGACATCTCTTGCGCGCTAGTTGCTGCTGTGCTGCACACTGGCGTCGAGATCGCCTGAAGACGCGGACTCCGATGATGGACCACGGATTCCGGTTGATGCACCGCAGTTGACACGACACCGACACAAGACACGGGGAGCGCTTGAGATGCAATATCGCGCCGTTTACGGCGCGTGAGTGCTTCGCCTCCTTGTGAGCTTTCTTGTACTTTCTTTACCGTCGCTTGTCCTGCTTTGTGTCCCGTTCCCGACCCCCCATCAACTTGCTTGAGGCGACGACCACTTTATTGTGGTTCCGTGCTTCGCTTGTGCCGATACACTGGCATCGTTCTGTCCCCTCTTCGCCATCTCTCTCGCTTCGATTCGGATATCGCACCCTGGCTGCGTTCCCAATTCACAGGCCGCTGTTCATCTCCGGATCTCGACGACTTCCGTCGTCTCACGACTCGCAATTGACTTATTGTCTTTATGTCCCCAATGTTGTTCCACTACACGCCTACTTATGACTCGTTTCACTCTCACCCTCGACTCGTCCATTTCCCTCCCTCCCACACATGTCCGCGCTTTGCATGGAAGCTGGATCGGGCGATGGACGATTGCGACCCACGACCGTTGGCACCACAACCTTTCGCGACTTTTCCCAGGTCATCCGACACACAGCTTTGGACCCGACGACGTGCTGATGGCCCCGCTGCCCTCGCCGTCTTCATCCCTCTCGCCCCTTTCGTGACGGCTTGCCTCCGACTGGGTTGCTTGACGAGTGGTGTCGACTGTGTGGTTGGTTGGTTGGCTGGTGTGCGAAAGCCTGGTTGCTGCTGCCTCCTTCCGCTGTCCTCGTAGTCGTCTCGTCCCTGGCTTCCTGTCTGCTAGTCCAGACAGGTTCGTCTGTTCGTCGGTTGGATTGTCGCCCGGCCTCGCTGTTTTTGTCGTCGTGGCTTGAGTGGGCTTGCCCGCTCGCTGCGACGGCTCTTGCGAGGGTTTCCTTTGTGGCTGGCTACTCCTACGTCCATCCGGGTACCGCTTTGCTTTGTCCGTCATCTGTGCTTGCGCAGTGCCGGGCTCACGCAAGCGGCTGCTCCTTCTATGCTCCACCATGCTCTTCCCAACGCTACATGTGATTCCTCCATCCACCCGCCATATTTCTGTCTTTATCTTCTACCCATCGTGTGCCATCCTTGCCGAGATCACGACTGCGTTCTGCTGTACATAGTGATGAAGTTGTCCTGATCTTTCACGATGCAATGTGATACCACGCCTTTTGTGTCTGCTTATCTCTTTGAGTTAGTTGGAAGATCGAAGGCCGAATTGTGCCAAACAATTCCGAGCATGCCACTTCTGCGAGGTTCGGAATTGTGGCTCATCGATGTCACACTCTCATTCCGCCGGTTTGGCTTACTCGTTGACCCTAGCAAGTTCTAGAAATGTGTTGGTCTTTTTTGGTGAAAGCCTCTCATTTGGCCGGCGGGGCTCACAAGTGGGATCCGCGTAGACAAGCTTTGGGCCCGCAGTGGACGGAGACGGAGACCTTCAGATCCAAAACTACAAGGTTACATACATACAACAAGCAAGGTCGGGGGTTCAGACAAGGGTCCAGGAGGATCAAGTAAACGCTAGTCGTCGCATAAGGGAGCAATGCCGAGTTGCTGCTCAGATGCTCCGGCTTGCCCAGCCAAGACACCGTGCATCGTGTAAATGTCACATTTTCGGGTGCGCCATCCCCTCTGACACCGCATCTTTACCAAGCAGGGGGGAGAGCAACAGGACAGTTGTGCAGCGTGTACCCTTCTGCGCAACTCCCACCCTCAAGAACTCGCGGCTGCGCTCATCATCAAAGCCTGGCATTCAACGCGTTTCTTGTTCGCACCAGATGGTAGTGCGATATCGCGTACGGTGCCCCCGCACGCGTGTCGAAGGCTGGCACTTATGTATTATTATTACAGAACATGAGAAAGATCGATGGTGGTGGTGATGACAAGTGGAAGGAAGCACTTGTGACTGCGCGACGCGTCGATGACGCTACGCAGAAACGCCATCAAACACGCGTTGTTCTTGCACACCCAAGGTCGGTATTTTTCTCATGCATCGCCCTTTCGATAACGCGTCCGGACAGCGACCGTGTGGACCTGAGACGCCTCGCCTCTGCCGTGTAATCATCTCGTGAAATAAGGACGGAAGAACACTCGCATCGACCGCGGAACTGATTGACCAGCAATTACCGAGTTTAACCCACTAGCTCCCTCAGCCTTCAACGAATCATGGGCGATACCGCAACACTCCGCCGGCAATTGAAGATCAAGACAGGCGTAATTCTTCGGTAAATCATCTACTCCGTCCATTACCTGTCGAGAACTGGGCTTCACATCGTTTGCCGTTCTATTCGACTTGTCTCGTGCAGCCTGGTCTTCCCACTCTGTCCGATCTCTCCGCATCGCCCCATCACTCGCTAAGCTAATCGTATATGGCAGCCTGAAGAAGGAGAATGAGCTGTATCAGAAGGAGGCCGTGGATCTCCAGGTCAAGAAGGACAAGATGGTCGCTGAGAACGGTGACGAGTGGGAGATCAAGAACGCGGCAAGTATATCGCTCCAACGAGTGATTCGGCGGTCTGACACCTGCTTTTTTTGCAGGGCAAGATGCAGGAGGAAACAGCGAAGATGATCACAGATTCTAAGGAGCGGCTCGCAAGATCATTCGGCGAGCTTCGGGATCTTGTGGTATGCGTCTCTGCCGTCGTTTACGACTACTGTGACTGACGCGCTTGTCGTTCCAGATGCTCGCGAAGAAGGAACCTGAACTTGTGGAGGAGGATGAGTTTCTTAAGGCTGAAGAAGCACTAGAAGAGGCGGCACTATAGTCTGGACGAAAACAAACGGATTACCAGCTCATGACTATATTCTGCGTGTGGCTGTAGCTTGGCGTCTTGGAGGTGATTGAGGAAGCTCTTCGCGATGATCCCGTCTAGATTCTGCAGTGTGCGGCACCTGGACAGTAGCTTTACAGTAAAGCCGCTTTTTCTCCCCTACATCAGTCTTCCTGCCGAGATCCATATCCTTCAGCGCCCGATCCGCGCCCAAAGAGCTCTGTGTCTCGTGATGTGCTTGTCGCGTGACTTATTGCCGTGCTCAACCTGGAGTTCCTGCTCGACTGCAGACTCCTCTCAAGAATCGATTGCTCCGTCATTCAAGATCATTCAGCGTAACTATTTAACCTTCGGCCCCGATTTGCCGTGCACAGCAATCAACAATACATGCTACTATGCTTGTGACGCGTGTCGTGGTCCTCGCTCTCTGCTGCGACAAGAGTCATCGAGAACTAAAGCCAAACGAATGAACGCGACCGCTTCTATTGATTTATGTGGGTTATGACTTTTGGTCTTACTGTAGACGGCACAGATAGTGCCAGCTTGATCTATGTGGCCACTGGGCTGCTGTCTGGCGCAAGACCCAGGTCTAAGCACCCTCTGATATTTCTCTCGACCGTCGCTTCTCCTTGTTTGTCTGGACACCGGTTTTTAAAAACGACCCCAAACTGGAGGCAGCCCACTTCGGGACTAGATAAACGATGCAAGTCCGGACTGTGCGCACTCCTAGAGACAGCATCTCTAGTTAGGTACATTAAAGAGTGCTAGGGTCCATCCAACGTTCCATTTGTTTCTTTTCCGCTCGGTCGGCCTTTCATCTTCCCTTCTTGAACCTTGTTTTTCTTCTCTTCGAGCTCGATTGATCTGTCTTGTGCGCAACGCAGATCTCATTCACACTCCTCACCCTCGTTCTATCGCTTCAGGCCATTACTGCGCCGGTTACCAATGATCATGACGGAAATTTGGGTACTCTACGATTCTTGTGTGCACCGTCTGAAATCCTCTAGGGCCTCAAGGCGGGGACCGTGAAGAAGCCCGTTACCAAACCTAAAGCAGTGTCAGAAACGCTCGCCAAATCGACACCAAAGCCCGTCGCAAAACCCATCGTAGAACAGTCATGAAACCCGTCGCGAAACCTATTGCCGTCAAGAAGCCTACCGCAGTAGCGAAAAAGCCCATCGTGCCTACCAAAGCACCAGTACTCAAGGCCGCGATGTCAGCCAAATCTACACCGGCCAAGAACGTCACCACGCCTACCAGGCCCTCGAGACTCCCGACTTGTACTCCGGCGCAGATCGAGGCACGTGAGTTCCTCCCCCTCGAGGAACAGGAATACGAGCATCTCGTCACTCGGGCGGGGCTTGGTCACCCGTCTGGGAGGAGTGATGTCAATCTTTTCCGCGTGGTCAACACCCGAAGGGCGGCTCAACTTGTTCGATCCCGCCGGCCGTTCATCGACGACTCGGATGAATTTGACTTTGGCGATCTTGACCATTCGCCTGGTGGGGTCCCTCCCTCTCCCTGAATGAACTATAACTGGACGATTTGTGCTCAGAGGTTGCCGATGGTTTCTACCTCACGGGCAGTCTGATGTCTGCGGCCCGATTCGAGTGCTTCGGCAAAGCAACGCGGCCAAGCACGACCGACGTTCTCGGTGAGGGTCTTTCAAGTATTTCTTGATTTGGGATTTCGATCTTGGTTTCAGAGTACAGATGGTCCGGATCCAGTGCGCGAGTGGCCGACTTCTCTGCGGATACCACGGGCTTGCGTGTATTCCAGCACTACAATGCCAATCCAGTCCAGGTGGCTGACACACGCAATCCATCCGCGCCGACTGCTGCCGCGCTCTTCCAACACGACATGATCACTGCTCTATTCAGTGGCCGTAAGAATCGCTCCGTTATGTCAGCGAATATCTCACTGATGCAGCGGCAGACCCGAAGTTGACACCCAGCCTCCGTCATTACGCTGTCATCAGACAGTCGGCAGCCGACTCGCGGCTTCAACTAGTCGCCCGGTACAGAACATTTTCTGCAGCAATGTTCCCGCTGGGTCACAGCTCATGCCGGGACTCTACGCTCAGGGACAGGCAAGCAATCGTCAGTTCCCCGCACGTTGGGCAGCAGTGAATAATCCCAGTTTCCGACCCGCAGGGGGGTCATGCACTTTCTAGAGGTGTATCGGCTGCACATCTTCAGACAGCGAGGGTCACGATCTGGATCGTGACTGTTTAATATTGCTTACGGGGGCCAGAGCCTTTTTATTCATTCATACGAAAACATATAGAGTTGGCAGCGGTAGAAGAGGCTTCGATCATTTAGACACTTGTCGCGTGCACTAGGACGTCTAGAGTGGTGTCACCACAAATGAAACATAATCCCCTGAAATGATATGATTAACACGCATTCTGAGCGCACCAGAGAAGAGCCTTTACAGGGTACACATCCAGTCCTCTCAGGCCATATTCACATCTTCAGTGACACCGTTTTGAGTTGGTGGCTCATTTTGCTCTTGCTCCGCCTTCAGACGCTGCAACGCGTTCAGGATACCCGTCCAAGCGTCCCTTTCAACACGCTCCTCCTGCAGTCCACGACGCGTGTCGTCGGCGGTAAATGACCCGGGCAGCTCCCCACCAGCAGGGAGCCCAACGCCGAGCGAGGGAGGCACGAAATTGGGAGGTGGCGCGTTGATCGCGGACGGTGCTATACGCGAGTGGCGAATGTGGGCAAGGGAGGAGCGAATAGCGATTTGGATTGCCTATTTGGCAATGAGTATACCGTCGCGAAAGGGCGTATAACTTACATCCAAACGCTCAAAGTATTCGTTGACTTCGAGAACGAACTGTTCTGATCGTTCGTCGCCCTGCGGGAGATTATCTTCCGGCGCGTCTGTCTGGGGAAGCGTCAAAAGAGAGATCGAAGACGCGGCGAGGGCCATAAGACGCGTGATGTCCTGTTGGCGTCGTTGATGATAGTTGTAGGCTTCTGCGATGGAAGTTACCTTTTCAACCTCGCCCAGGGCGTAGATTTGACGGGCAGTACGACTGGTTGTCCATATGGGATCAATCTCAATTGCTTCGCGTTCTTCGTCTGGCTTGGATGTACCAGACATGAGCGTGTGCCCGAGAGATCATGTTTGTTTGTCCCTGAGTCCAACACTGTTTGAGAGCTCTTAGCCTCCCACACGTAATCACGGACTCTCAATGGCACTCGACAAGCTCTTCAATATACATTTTGTCATCGACATATGCCTAAGGAGGGAATAATTCCAACCAAATTGTGCCCCTAATGACACCATCTTTGGTTGGTCGCTTGCGGCGGACTATGGTGCGACGCGTTTAATTGACGGTCTTGACCTCAGAATGGCTTGACGCTGAACGACTACATACGACGTTGATAACAGAAGACAAACGCGACTCGGGCACTTGCGGAACTCCTTGCACCATGTGCCCCTTAAACTCCTTCCACCCCTCAGTTCTGATCGTTCGTTAAAAAAGGCTCATCAGTGTGACGCTCTTGCTAGCCGCCGCCCTCCTGGCAGATTATTCCTCACACTGCCATCTACTCCGGCCTTTCTGACATTCCGACCATGTCTACCGCTACCAGCAGCTCGAGCAGCAGCATGCGTTTCAGCCTGCCTAAACCGAGTCTGCCTAAACCGCCCCCTCCTTCATCTCTGTCAATGACGACCCCATCTCTGGGGTCAAGCGAGCTACTCCCCAAACCGAAGCGGGGTGCACCGAAGGTCGCGCCGGCTAGCCAAGCTCCGAAGCAGTCGAGTGATCCCTCCCTGAACCCAGCGCTCTGCGAAGGCTGGTGAACCATGCTCCTCGCGTATGTCAATGGCAGCTTGTAGCCTTTGACGCTTCCGCTCATAGACCCCCAGTCCTCATCCATCCTGAGCATTGCTCCTCCCCACCGCACCCGCCCACCATTCACACTTTTCCCTCTTGCGCCATTAGGTTAGAATTCTCCCATTGGAGATAGAGGACACCATTCCCTGAAGCATTGTCAAGCCGTGGATGTCTACTAGTCAATATTCCCATGGCGGAGAGCGATGTGTTCAGTAATACACATGTTTATGCCTGCTCGGCTGAAGCAGTAGTTTTGAATCGTGCCAAGTACAAATGTTGCCGTCAGGTCCCACACTCGGCCGCAGTCATAGGTGCCGTGTCATAGGCGCCATCATGATTTGTGACCCATGAGGCTGTCCCGGCCAATTATCCGATGTCGGCGCACGGTGGAGCTGGAATTCATTATCGAGTGCGGCGCGCAGCGAGAGACGTCGTGGTGGAGGAGCGCGACTGAAGCTGCTTGGAATCCAAGCGCCCCATATCACGAGCAAACAATCGATTGGCAACCACCTGTGTCATGTTGCCATTTCATCTGATGAACAAAAGGCGGTTCTCCCATACAGCATCTCCGTGACGGTCCCCCATACGCAGGCACAGGCTTGGCTGCTTTCTAACTTTCTTCCTCTGCTCCGTTCCTTCTCCCTTCTTCTCCCATGCTTTCTCTTCCCTTAGCTTTGCTAGTCGCTCTCCCGGCACTCTGCGCTTCGGAACCAGTCCATATTCCGCTCATCCGACGTCATGGAGGCAGGGCCAAGACGACCGCCGACCACTTGCGCAACGCCGAATTCGTCCGCATGCGTTATGGATATAGCTCTGGCAGCCCCGCATCATCATTAACAAACACATCATCGACCTCTAAACGTCTCGATCGTCGAGCTTCCGCACAAAGCCTGAATATCGTGAATCAAGTGCGCGGTTCTGGACACGTCTCCAGAGAATCACCCCACTCATGTTGTGTTGGTAGAACGGGGACTCGAGCTACTTTGGATCGGTTAGCATAGGAACGCCGTGAGTGATCCGTCGCGCGAGTTGCGGCTCGTCTCCACGCGCTGATGTTGATGACGGCCTGCCTAGACCCCAGGCTTTCCATGTTATCCTTGACACCGGGTCTTCCGACCTCTGGGTCGTAGACACGAACTGCGTCACTTGTGACCCAACGTCGCCCGCATTCAACTCCCAGAACTCGTCGTCGTTCCAGGTCCTCGACAGCACTGCGACCACCATCAGCTACGGTTCTGGTCAAGTCCAGGGCTTTGTCGCCCAAGACGATGTCACCATGGGGAACTTCACGATGTCTGCTCAGGGCTTCCGTACGCACATCTCATCCGCCTTCCGCACGATCAGCGCGCTGAATCTGAGGCGTTATAGTGACTGCCGAGGTGACGTCGAGAGGGCTGCTCCAGGGCTCTGTCTCTGGATTGATGGGTCTGGCGTTTGCGGCGATTGCCTCTACGAAGACACGCCCTTTCTGGCAGAACCTCATCTCCAGCAATCAACTGGAGGCTCCCGAAATGTCGTTCTGGCTCAGCCGTTTCCTTGGCACAACCAAGGAGGAACAGCCGGGAGGATCGTTCATCCTCGGAGGCACTAACACTTCTTTGTACTCCGGCACTCTCGAGTTTCAATCGCTTATCAGTAACATCCCAGGCCCAGCGAGCTTTTGGCTGCTTGGCTTGTCAGGCAAGCCGTTTCGAATTGTCTTGACTGCTGCGACGCCGCTGATCATGACAATGACAGGGATCACTGTTCAAGGCCAAGCGATAAAGGTGGCTACTGGCGCCAATGCTCTTTCTGCGATCGACACCGGTAAGCACGGGAGCATCGCATTTGACTCTTGTTCATGGATGTTACCACAGGAACAACCCTGATTGGGGGGCCTACGACTGATGTTGCAGCCGTCTGGGCGGCTGTTCCGGGAGCTGTGAAGAGCGTGCAGAACCTGGGGTACTATGAATACCGTAAGCAGAAACCTTTTCCTGTTCTACGTCATTCTCATCCGACCACAGCGTGTAGCACCTCGGTAAGCATCAGCATGGCATTCGGTGGACAATTGTGGCCCATCGACCCTGCTGACATGAACCTCGGCCCCGGATCGAAGAAGGGCATGTGTGTCGGGTCCATCTTCGATCTCACCGCGGGAAGTGCTATCTCACCCGGACCCGGTACGCCTACCTGGGTCGTGGGTGATACGTTCTTGGTTGGTTCAATTTCCTGTAAGATCGCATTTATGAGTATTGACCGCTCCTGCTCCTTGCAGAAGAACGTCTACACTGTGTTCCGATCGAGTCCTGCTGCTGTTGGTTTTGCCCAGCTTTCTGCGGCAGCTGGTGGCGGATCGGGTCAGTCTTCCCATGATATTCCTGTAACAAGACTGATGGTCCCCGACAGGAACTCCGGGAGCAGGTCCAGCCGGTACAGGCAGTTCCTCCTCAGGATGTGAGTTGTCCAGTCGCATTGTGCCGAGTTGCCGCTAAAACTTCTGCAGCGACGTCCAATACGGGAATGCACACTGTTCAATCACGATCGCTGTCGCTGTCGCTGATGGTTTTTGGTGTCGTTGTCTATCTGCTCTGATGATGAATGATCATGTATGCATAAGCTATCCTATCCCATATCCTAGTATATCAGTAGATCTCTACAGGACTACGATCGGACTCGAAATCCACGGACGACGCTCACTTGAATAACCTTGATGTAAGATACATAACGTGATATGCAAATACTAGAATTCTGCTCGACGGATGACATAGCGGTCCCAGCTTGGAACCAAGACGGTGGTCATCCCATCCACCTTCATAGCTTCGAGCACCTTGAGCATTTCCGTCTCGAGTGCCTGCTCCTTTTCCCGTCGCGTGGCAGTGCCCATCCCAGCCGCGGCTGGATTGATGCTCGTGCTTTTCCCCTTCCCTTTGTCCCTCGCAGAATGATGATGGTGACCGCTGCACGTATGACTGTGCTGGTGATGACAGAATCCCAAGGGGGTGTCGGTCGCCGGCATCGGCACGGTCACGACCTTGAGTTTGCGATCGTCCAACAGCGTGCGAGGAAAGGGGAGTGGTTTCGCGGGCTTGTGCTTGCCCACACCCAGTCTGTCGTACAGCTCTGCTGCTGCTGCTGAGCTTTGTGACGATTCGGGCGATTTCGCGGAGGATCTCTGAGCTCTGGACGGTGGAGGGAGCAGTGATATTAGCTCTTGGATAGCCTCGCTGTTATTAGGTTGCAGTTTGATGATTGCGCGCAAATCTTGCAAGAGTATCGTGAGCAAGTCACATACTGAGTGGAAAGAAAGACTGCTACCTCGAATAGCTTCATCGTGGCGGCCAAGCATCTTCCTTGCACGGGCTCGACGGAAATATCCTTTACAGCTGTGATGTTGGGACAATGCTTTGGAGCAAGCGGCCTCAGCGGCCATCCAACTTGCAACAGATCAGTCTCTTCGTGCTTCGAGAACGCAGCAACAGTCCTCAACTCACTTGCTTAGCTTCAAATGCGCGGCCGCTAAATTGAGCTGATAGTGAGGAAGCTCTGGCTCTATTTCGTAGGCGGCTTCATAATGCTTCACTGCAGCAACATAATCACCCTTCCGGAAAGCTGTATTGCCCTGGACGCCTAGTTGGTCAGAGATCGAATATCGATTCCTCAAGTTCCAACGTACCTCCTCCTTCTGTCGTTCGGCCTTGATATACCTCCACTCCATCAGCTCACCGACCGACATGTCGCTTTCGGGACCGTCGAAACAGTCCTCTGGCTCAACGCCCCCGAAGTCCAACCCCAACTCCCAGACATCTTCCTCCTCTTCAGTTTCCCATCCAAAGACACCGCTCCCTCGACCATCCCATTCCCTCTGTTTGCCGGGCCGAACGCCACTCTCCTCTTCATCCTCTCGCACCGTTCGCTCACAGACCTCCCCCAGATGATCCGTCGAGCATCCGCAGTCACACCACTTATGGGTCAACTTTTCGCGCAAAACCACGCCGTAGCCATGCACATCGAATTCGCGTGCGACCCTCCATAACGTCTGACTTAATTTTTCATAGCCGACACGGATCTTCATGCGCCAGTCGCCGGCCCACTCGGGAGGCCGCGCGCTCCCGGACGCGTATTTGAGTTCGCAGGCCTCCTCCAACGCGTCCTGTCCTTCTTGCAGTGAGCCCAGATGAGGCGGCTTGCAGAACGAGGGTGGGGGAAAGCCTCCAGGGCATCAAGATGTGTCTTGAGCCCATCGTAATGCGGCAGCAGATGCATGGAATGCAGCCCCCGTCGTTTACATATTGGAATATTGTTGGAAAGGGCCTGTGCACCGGATGAGCAAGAGACATGGGAGCGACAGCGACAAAAGCGACGCACAAAATGCCTCAACGCCGTGTACGACCACAACACACTCTTCGTCGCGACGCGTTCCCCCGCTTGGCGCATATCCATGCTGATCACCGACCGGAAGAAGTCCTTCACTTCGTCCGCGTCCGCATTGTATGCTACCCAGCCCGGCCACCGAGCGCCACGCACCGCATCACGAACGTCGGGAGGTGCACGAGGGCGATGCTGTACAGCCGCGTCGAGAACAGCCGCGCGATGTCCTGCTCGTACCGGATCAGCAGTATCCGCGCGATGGCGCGCTCGAGCTTGGACACCGCCGTCATAGCCTTCGAGATGCTCCGGTCCGCGTGCGGGTTCGACGGCACGCCGCTGCGGGTCTGTCCCGATTTCGCGTGGGATGACTTTTTGAGTGCTCCGGCTGCGGCGGCCTTTTTAACGTGCGAGTACTTTGCTGGCATCGTCCAGTCGTAATAAACGCGTCCTGCGGTATACCGAGGGTGAGGATGGCGATTGCCTCCGTTAATCGGAGCTTGTAGTCGCTCTTAAGCAGTCTAGGCGCTCACTGAGCGTCCTTCCTTGAATGCACGAGCCAAAATGGTGAGATAGGCACAGCCAAGGCGGTGCGATGAAGCAGTAAAGTGCCTGGCGTGATAAGATGAGGTCGTGGAAATTGATGCTTGTCGCTCCTCGAGACAGCGAAGCAATTCGTGAAGCCTTCGTCACCGACGTGAGGAGAGAACTATGTGAAACCGGCTGTTGCCATATTTGATCCGTCGCCCTCCGGCCGCATCTGGAGCGTAGATGCCGTGGTCAGTACTGCGCCTCGTCGGACGATTTCATATAGAGAAGGTAATGGAGAAGAATTCATACGTTCAATACACGAGTCGCTGTGAGGGAACAAAATTCAAGAAACGAGGACAACGCGATCACATGATCACTCCATGCTTCGTCCGCAGTCGCCCGAAAGCATGCGCTCTCCCAGCAAGCGGCGCCAACATGCTTTTACTCTTGAGGAGACGTAAAAATCATGCTTGCACTATCTCAAGGGCGGCGAGTTGATCTACTCATAACGACAACGCTATCTAATCCCACCATCCGCGTCTCTACCATACGAAACCCGTCCTAGGACTAGAGATCAGTGCACAAGATACATGAGAAGTGAACATGTTACCATCACACCAGCAGGAGAGTTATAGCTTACACCAGCTGGGCCCACAAGCACAGGAGCCGTCGTAATCAACAAAGTGTCGACGCACTGCTCTGCGGCCAAAAACGCGCCAATCACTGTTGCCCCGCCTTCGACCATGAGTGTCTGAATGCCCTCCGTTCCCAGGAGATGTAGCAACGCGGGCACTCGCGCAGATTGTGTCGTTCCCGCTATAAGCATTCGCTGAGAGACACGATGGAAGGGCGAGCAGAGAGCGAACCAGGCAGCACGAGAACCCTTGCCCCGGTGGTTTCTAATGCATCTCGTCTTTCATTCCATTCAGGGTCCCCTGCCGCTTCCACGGCGATGATCCACGGACGACGTCCACTTCCCGCCGCGAAATTACGCAGCAACTTACACATCGGCTTGAGCCGCAGATTCGAATCCAGTATGATCGGACGCGGGAGATGATGGGGTGCAGCCACAGGAGGAAGATGCCGCGCTACAGTGCGAGGGCTGGGAGTTTCAGCGTGAACCACGCAAGACAAATGCGGAGAGGCGCACTGTTCAGTTGGGGATCGTCGTTGAGGGCGGTGCCAATGCCAACGAGGATGCCATCGTGCATGGTTCGAAGCCTGTTCGGGTTCAGAATCCGAAGTAGCGACGGCGATGCAGACAGACCAATGCGTCATAACCATACTCTCCTTACCGCTCAGGATGAGCTGTGCGCCGAGTGCACCAGCGATCTTGGCATCCAACGACTGCGCAAATGTAAGAGTCACACGTGGGCGTATTTGCATGGCCTCTGATTCATTTGGCGCGAAGAGGTTCGTCAAATAGCTAGGTGGACCCGACATGGTCTAGGTGCAACGCGAGCTGTCACGCTGTGACAGGATGAGCGCGTCGGAAATATCCATCTGTGCAAATCAAAATTTAGATGTACACTAAAAGTACATTTCAAGCGTTACTGGTCATGTGTGTGTCTAGCGTAATCGCGTTACAGGCGGGTAAGTTAAATGAGCAATAAGTGTAGGTATCGTATTGCTGTAGTCGTGTGATATGGGTCAAGGGTTATGCATTTATGTTTTCTGGGATGCGGTCAATGCACGATGCTTAATAATGATACAAGGCTGCATGGGCGTAAACGTGGTGATGCGGGTATCGAGCATACTGTTATATCGTGCTGGAGATGCGTGGAAGATGAACAAAGTGTTTCAAGTGTCAGGTCAAACCCGGAGGAAGGCAGAATTGCCCTGGGCACGGTCACACCGCTGGGCTATTCTCATGGCAGTATCCAATGCTTGAGAGACAAGCGGTCGAGCTGCGCTATATGCTGGAGTGTGGTCGAGTAGGTCTGTCAAACGTTAGGATCAGCTCTTCCAGTGAACAAGGCAGACACGCACCTCGATATAACAGCACATAGCGCATAACTCTCTGCGTCGGCGCAATCGCGAGGTCTCGAACGTTCGGACGCAGATCTTTTTCTTTTCCCGACTTCTTGGATGAGGAGGATGGGGAAGGTGTCATCGCAGACAACTGCTCGGCAGTGGGTATCGCCACTTTCAAGGGAACTGCAGGGACAACAGGCGGAATGTCAGGCGGGGCCGAGGGTTTGGACAGGGTCCTAATCGAAGCAGTCAGACTGCTTCGACGCCAAGACAGCCTCGGCTCTTCGTCTTTCGCTGCCGATTCACTGATTGAACTATCAGGAGCACGCGTCTTGCTTAGCCGTTTGGAGGTGCGCGATTCGGTTTTCTCATCCGAGAACCAAGCGCCCACTACACCACACCAGGCAACGAGCGCAGCCTCGAGCGATTCCTCTGCTCCTAAGAACGCGGCAGCGACACCCCAAGCACTCGGATCCGATTCCATTCGTCGTAAAAGGCCTGCACTTTCGACCGCAAGGCCGACGGCGTAGGCGTGCATCAACGGAGGAGGTCGCATTCGTGTTCCACCAGTCAATAGCGTCTGCAGAGACGAAAGATAGTGACGCTCTGTTCGCACCAGCTCTCGGCATGTCAGCAGGGCACGACGGGCGCTCTGCCATGTCGCAGTGGTGCTGCTTGGTAACACCGGCATCGATGTTGTGCGGATGGGAGGTAGACTCGGGTTATCAAACTCTTTCGATGTCGGCAACGGCAGTTGGGAATCATCTTCCTCGAGCTCGTCGTTGTAAGCAGCCCAAACACTGTCCCAATCGTCAGCTTCCACAACAGACCCTACTCGCGATCGTGAACGCAGCGCTTCTAGCTTTTCAACTAAGAGCTCATCAGAGATCCCTTCGTCTGTAAGCGCCATGGCAAGCGTCCAACGTCGCTTGGGGGCTGTGACAACGGCATGTCTGCGGAGGAGAGGCGGTCGAGACGAGAGGGTCGGACTCGAACTTCGCGGGCTTTCGCTTTCGTCGCCAAGAGTGAAACGGGGTTTGGGGCGGAGCATATGTTCTCCATCATCCAGGGACAGACTCCAAGTGGATTTCCAACCGTTCCGTTCAGTCTGCACGTCCAAAGCCTTTGACACCACACCGGTCCACGGAACTTCTGATAGAGCGTCGGTACCGACGGCACTGGGTGAAGATGGCACATTAGGCTGAGAAGCACTCTGAGCATGCCAGGAATCACGTCGGGTAGTCTGGAATAGCTGGAACGTGGGCTACAGCAGGGAGATTAGATGGGCTTGACGTACACCACATCAACGTACGATATTCAGCGCAGAACGGCCTGCACGCTTCACGGGAGGTAATGAATAGTGACCGTCCTCGCTCTGCGTGTACGTTCCGAGATTGGTGGTGACTGAAGATCTTCGACGTCCCAGACCAAAGTTGAACGTGCTTCGGCGCTGGAGAGGGGCGATTCCCGGCTGATCCTCTTCGAAACGCGGGTTTTGATCATCCGGAACAGCCGCGTCGGTAGGCTCTGACGACGAAGGTCGGCGTTTCGTGAGCTTGCGAGTGATCCGCGCAATACCATTCACAGACATCGAGCGGCTGGGTGGAGAGATGAAGCTGCTTGAACGGCTGGTGGGGGAGGAGCGGTGAAAGGCGTATGGGAAGCTGACAGTCGGTGACGGGTCATCAGGAATAAAGGAAAACGGATAGCTCGACGGCGGGGCCTTCTTTCGCAGCCTATTCGGACGCTTGGGTGATGAGACGCCATATTTAACGAGCTCATTCAAGTTCGAAGGTTCATGCGATGTATTTGATGAGCTGGATGGCGAAGTTTCCTCCGGTGAGGGAAGCGCGAGCTGAGCGATGCTCGGAGGACTGGGTTTCAGACCGGGCGTCGGCGGCACTTGTTGGTCGTATTCAGTGTATTCCAACGAGCCTGCGCGAGCGAATCGCAAACCGGGCGTTGGGGGCAGCGGTTTCTCTTCTTGCAAAACTTTGCGATCGGGGAAAGGCACCGAGTCGTGAATGGAAATTGGGGACGACTTGGTTGAGCCAGTGAGAGGAGACGCGATGGCTGTGAGTCGCGCGAACATCACAAGCGCCCAGGATCGAGCGCAAAGGTGACGGTGGGTGGCCAAGAGCAGGGCAACCTGAAGGGGTCGCCCGGCGACGCGATGAACTGATGGCAGCCTGGGACATCAGAAAAAGTTGGTCAAATACTACGTCATGAGTTAGGTCATCGCTTGGGCTAATGAGAGATCCTCTGCTCATGGTCACCTCCGACTGCGACCTACATTGACTTCTGCTCCATGTTCTAGCCTGAAGCGCAAGAACGTTATGCCCTATTCCCCAATTGCAGTCCATCCTCGTCACAGTTGAGCTACATTGCTCCGTTGCTTGGATCTATCTATTTTCGGCTCGTTCACACCTGCAGAATGTTTTCACGTTGCGCAACAAATCACGAACATTGGTTCACTCATTGAGCTAGTCTGCGTGACCGCCGTCAGCCCCGCCTAAAACTCAATATCGTAGCTGCTGCTTTGGCAGTAACTGTAGTAATCATGATTCTTTGATCGACATCATGATTGACAGCATGAGAACGCCTTGATTGACGCGGCTTGCAACCAAAGCAACCAACTTCCGTTGTGACCATTGACGATCCTTTTACGACTCTCCTTCACTCTCGCATATGCGCTAGGTCCGCGGAAGCTCTGGTCAGCAAGCTCTCATCTCACACTCGTCACAACGACCCGAGAACAAATCACACTCTTTTTGCGCGCTCTTTTGCACATCCTCGATAAAACCGCAATTTGTGACATAATTTGTTGACTCGGATATGATCCCCTCAACCTCACTCGCTGCCTTTGTGGCCCTGAATTGCGCTCTAGTTGTTAGCGCTGGTGTATATGTACATCACCCCGCTGCGATTCATCGAGTTGCGAGCTGATGACATTCCCTAGTTTGTCGAGCCATCCGGTGGCATCACATGCACGAGTGGCCAATCCTGCGCACTCCAGTGGCTCGACGACGGAAATATCCCTGTTCTCGCGGATATTGGCGTCGTCACTGTCGGACTGTATACCGCTAATCAGGTGTGTGAGCCCCTATTCCACGCGACGCGTCAAGTTCAGTTTACCTCTAGCAACTGGTCCAATCGATCGAGCCTCTCGATGTTTCTGAATCCCACTCATTTCAATTCACTGTTCGTCTAATCTGTCTTGCACATCCCCCTCTCTCTGAGTCTTCGAACAGCCCGATGCAGAGGCAGGGCCGAATTCGAAGAACTAGTGCGTGTGAAATCATTTTGAAGTCGCTACATTCTCTTATGACATCACCAGCTATATCTCCTTCATTTCCACGACCGCGAAGGTCAATGGTACTGCCTATGCCGCCTTCTCTCCGTCGATCACGTCTGTCTCTTCTCCTTGCACACCGTAAACGCGGCTGATCACTTCACTCAGTCTCAACGGCATGTCGGGAAATTTTGCTTCCCCGCTCGCTTCAGCGACAAGCTCCATCCCTATACCCTCCACTTTGGCCCCGGCTAGTATCGGCAGTGTGGCGGGATCGACGATCACTGTCGGCACGATCCACACATCTTTTGCCCCAATATCGACATCACACGTTCCAACCTCTGCCAGCGCCACCAAGTCAGCGACATCCACAACAACATCGTCAACGTCATCGGGATTCGCAACTTCGTCCATACCCTCCATTGTGCCGTCCTCTTCCCCGTCTGCGTCTAAAGCGGCTGCCTCTTCTGGTGCAGGGATCTCGCCTCCTTCGATACTGCCATCTCTGCTGTCATTTTCCTGCCTCGCTTTAGCCATCTTGTCCTTATGACGAGAGTGTTTTGGTTCTCTAGATTTGTACAGAATTCACATGGACGCTAAGGCGCCATCATATCCTTATTGATGATGTCCACCGTAGTTTTGTGTTTCCACTTGCCCAGAGGTCCTTCCCGAGTGACACGAACAGGCCTTAGGCCTCACTATCTTATCATGAATCACATCAGCTGGATCAATCAGCATTTTGCCAAGCGAGAGTCTCCATTTCGACCGTAACCGGCACCCCGTATTTATGGCGACGAACGTCTGCCGCCGCCACCCGCTCTACGCTACATTCATCTTCGTGGTCGTCTCTGGCACATTCTTCTTGCTGTTACGTCCCGCCGCGCCGGCCTGGAATCGCGCTATACACGCACATGACCTCTCGACACGCCTGGTACAGTCGGAGCAGATTTACAGTCGTATGCTGGAAGCGAGGAGGAAATTGGCGAGTCACTACGACGTGTCCGGAAGGCAGGACGTACTCCCGACGAAACTTACCATGAAACGCAGATCAAGAAGTTCGGGCCTACTCCGAAGGACATTGTGTTGTACGTCATGAACTGCTGGTGAGGCATCTCAACGGAAGCATGGCTCCTAGATTTCCTCCAGACGTAAAGCCCTGGCCTGCATACACAGTCTGTGAGTAGTCCCAGCTCGCGAATGCCGATCCACCTACAATTCAGTCATCCATATTTCCAGGGGACTTCTTCCCCTCAGCGTTCAACTGCCCGCATGAAGTCCAGCGCCTCGGTGCTCTTGCAGACGGCGGGAAGTGGGTATGCGGTGTCTCGCGCCTAGTGTCCAAGTCGGAATGTGTGGTCTACTCTGTTGGTACGCCTTGCCAAGGATGGAAATGCTACCTGTGCAGACGCGCCTTCTCCCACAGGCATCAACTACGAGTCGTCCTTTGAAGCCGACCTTCTCAGTACCACGCATGGGTGTGAGGTGTGGGGCTACGACCCTGCCGTCACCTCCTTCGGGCCGCAGATTCCCTCCGGCCTCCTTCCCCGCACTCACTTCTTCCCCTATGGCCTGGCGGGCTCTTCCTCATCCGAATCGACGCATACACCACCCATCATGCACACGCTCGAGACGCTCATGAAACAGAACGGTCACACGCACATCGATATCCTCAAAATTGACATCGAGCACGCCGAATTCGCGACGCTCACTGACCTGATCATGCCATATATCACATCGGGCCGCCCGCTGCCATTCGGACAGTTGCTGGTGGAAATCCATCTGTGGGAGATGTCGTCGTTCGTGGATGTGATTGCGTGGTGGGAGATGCTCGAGGCTGCAGGGTTAAGGCCTTTCAAGGACGAGGTAAGCTATCAGAAGTTCGTTGCACTGTGGAGCTCAAGGACGATCTAACGCCTTTCACAGCCGAATCTGGTGTACCACAACTATAATCGAGAGAGTTCAGCGGATTTGGCTGAGGTGCGGTGTGTCCGGATTCGTTGGGCTGGTCACTGATTGCTTCACAGTATTCGTTCCTCAATATCAAGGGATCTAATGCCTTTATTTCTCACGACTAGATACCCTGATGAATATACCTGGCCTCGGCCCCGCCCCCGCTGGATAGAGCCATCTGAAGTTGTGGCACGAAGAGAGTCATTATCGCTGTTGGGAGCTATCTGACGATCCAATATGAGTGGCTTCATCCATCGCCCATGCTCGTCGTCCAGAAACATTGGAGGAGTATGTTGATCTGCTTCGTCAGCAAAGCTTCCTCAGGGAACAGTGTTGCTCAAGACAGAGTAAATACTTCACCTTTTGGCTGACTTCTATAGCTGTTTTACTGGAGGTGAAATGATTTGGGAGTGTATTGTAGAAAATGATTATCTACTCTCACTGACTGTGCAGTGCCATCTACATATTTTTCCTCATGGACCTTCCGGGTAGCGGTTTCTCCAATTTGTGTTCTGCCTTTCCGTAAGAGGGGTGCAGACCGATGATTCCTTCACTCTCCGTCACTCATGAGCGAGATCAAGGCAGCAAAAATGATCTCGGGGAGAAGGAGCCGCTTCTGCATCTGCACACGAATCCATTCAGCATGTCTCTGGTGTGATTCCTGCTGATTGTCTGTCTGCACCTCCGACACAGCCGCGTCCAGGACCTGCAATGCATCTACATCGGTGATCCACCCAACATCCTCCTTGACGGCCCAGTGAAGCACTGAGTACAAGTCATCCACACCCACAAGACAGTCCTTTGGATATTTGCGGATGAAAGCAGAGGCCGCGTCGGCGAAACGATGTTGCAGTTCAGTAGGGATCATCGAAGAAATGTGGGTGAATGCGTAGGGTATCAATTTGAACGTCTCCAAGTTCAGGTCCTGCTCTATTTGATCCGGACTCCAGGTGCCAGTGGTACAATGCTCGATGAAAGTGGTCAGAACACCCACATGAGCACAGTCATAGATTTGCCGTGCCAATGCCCGCTCCGTCCGTTTCTCGTTGTCAAGACCGATCACGGCGCGGAACCAGTCCTTGTCGTCGAAGATACTTGGTAATTTCTCCCATTCCGACATATCCCCCAATTCCGACGAATCCAGCAAGAAACATCTGAGCACAACAAACTGGACGATGGCAACCAAACGATGTGTGCGGATGTCGGCGGTTTCATTCTGCAGAGTGCGGAGGACCAAAAGATGGGTTACCAGGTCTCTTGGTGGCTCGTCAGACTGGAGCAAATGCCGATAAATCAGCTGGAGGGCGTCGACAGATTCCGGGAGATCTAATCGCTGCTCCAAGTTCTCGCATAGAGTGTGGCACAAGTATCGGGTGTAGTGATACTTCGAAGCAGGCTGTAAGTCGGACTTTGGGTCGGAGGCAATCAGGGATGGATGCCGGACCAGGAACGGCCCAAGACCGAACAAATTCAGCCACCATGGATAGTCCGATGTCTGGGCAAACGGGGTGATGATCTGGCGAGCAGCAGAAACGAGATTGTCCGCTGTCTCGTCCGATGCTGAACGGATCACCAATTGGAGACTCCAATGCAGATTGATGTAGCCATCCGCTACTTTGAAGAGCATTTGTGACTGGTGGAACAGTGAGTTGGTCACATCTCGTTGAAAGCTGGCAGCGCATTTGGAAAGTGCCACCAGATACTGCGCGTACGTGCGATGCATGTCTGCTTGTCGTCGCTTCTTCGCTTCGGCGCGGATGTCACCGTCGGAGTTGCTTTTTTCTGTGGGGGCCTGTTCCCGGCTCTGAGACTCAATCGTGTTCAGACGGATCAGAGCGGACACGTCGGGAAGCATGTTCTGCACTTCATCGGAATGACAAAATTTCGAGCCGAGCAGCGCGTTGTCGACATCGGCGTCTCCAATTGGACTCCTTAAAGGCGACCCTATGTGAAGAGAGAAAGCACAGATCGCCCAGATGGCCCGAAGTACGGAGAGCTGGCGGCGGACGCGTTCCTTGGGGTCGAGCAGATTACTGTTGGAGCCAGCCATGAAATCCGCAAGTCGCTGGCAGAGATTGACTTGCGGGTCCCGCAATAGATTCTCGAAATGCGCCTGATATACGCTACGTGGCTTCCCTACATCAAAGTCCCACAGCGTTTCGGCAAGACTCTCGACAAATGGCCCAAATTCAAGATCGTCAGAGAGAGCGCGCATGGTCCAAGCAACAGCCCGCGTCTCTGTCTTGACAGCAGCCTCCCTAGGACGATGCAGTGCTGCCCATTTCAGGGCGTCCACCATGCTCTGGTTCTGAGGACGAGTGTCTCCAGGCACTGGAGATCCAACGAGGGCCTCACTGTCGGTCTGAGGCGCTCTGTTTCGAACATAAGCCCTCAGCACGCTTCCCAAGCTCTGATTCAGCGACCAGAGGATTCGCGTGAGCGGCGTCTGGTACGGACTGTTGTAGAAAAACAGTGGGAGTGCGGTGAATGTTCCGTAGACCAAGATGAAGAGAATTAGCAGGGCGGATATTATGGCCATAATGAAGATATTGATGGGCACGAGAAATGCGACTAGACCCGCAAAGAACAGAAGGAGTGCCCCGTGCAGGAGAAGGGAGGAACGCCAACAACGGCGTGCATGTTGAAGCGGCGCAAACCATAGTAGAGATACATATATACACGCGACCGCACAGAGGGCGAGGAGAACATCGATGTGCGGTGCTGATACTCCTGCGCCCACTGTTTGACCAGTGTAGCAACGAGTGCGCTTGACAAGCTGAGCCCGAGGCTGGCGAACCAAAGTGCGTTGCAGACGAGAGATGAGACCGGGGGCGAAAAGGCAGCGGGGGGAGGTAGTGCATCTGCCACCGCCGTGGCATTGTTCATGCTCGCAAGCTGGGACGAGATCTCGCTGAGGAGTGCACGGTCTGGCTGAGCAGTACGACGGTCTGGCTGCCCGAGTCGGGGTTCAGCGTTTTGTAGCTGTCGATGATGAATGTCGTCACAACACCGGAGAAGAGACCGGCCTGAGTCACATTCAGGGAGAGACTCTGAATGGAAATGGACAGGGGACGCACGAAGATCAACAGTCCATCCATCTCACTGCGCCAGCCCTCGATAAGGCCTTGATCGTACTTTTGCGCCTCGTAGATGTAGACGCTCCAGAGCTTGTTGCCGCTGGCCCTCTCGCGCTCGAGAGTTGCTTCATCGGTGTCTCGTTTCTCGGCCTGATGTTCGTCAACTTGTGACATGATCAAAGGCAGGAGGGAAACTACTCGGCTCCGTGTCTGCGCAGCGTTTCCCATACACACTGCCTCAGTGGAACAATGCCACAGTTCACAGCCAACAAGCCCCGACGCCGAAGTGGCGGATTTCGACACAGGGGCTCAAGGAAGCCAACGCAAGCTCGGACGGAACCAAGATTGGCCGGCGGCGCATCCCAGGGCATGCAGTCTATTGACGCTTCCAGGAGATTGACGGATGGGATCAAGCACTTGTTAGATAATGTCGGTCCCAGAAGACGCACATGTGTCCATTGGTCGCCGTAGAATATCGATGAAAGCAGATGGAAAGCCGTGAAGATCCAGGCAGACACATAGTTTCGGAAGGGAGAGAGTAAACTCGGATGTGTTCGTAGTACTTGGTCGCATGTGATGTGATTCGATCGTCCGTTTTCTCGCAGCTCTTCTCCAAGTCGCACTGCCAGGGCCAATCTGATCAGAACACCGTACTACATGACTATGGATCTTCCTAACCTAAGCCGAGATGGCTCTCCCCGTGGTTCACGGCGCTCGCACGCTCAACAGCGACAACAGATAGTATGCTGTTCTTCACCATGGATGCAGTGCACGCTCATGCTCAGAGCAATGCGGTTCCCATCGAACGGAAATAGTTTGCTCACAAACGTCCTTCGTTCGACTGGATTGGAAGAAACGCGTGCTGTCATACCAGGCGCCACCAGCTTTTGGCTAGACAAGCTGGCCAAACATGCCCTTGCAGCCACATGTCATATGTAGCCACAAGTAGCTCGGACGGTCGGTTAGATTCGGCTATCAAGTCTGTGGCTATGAGGGCTCTGAAGTGTCTATGATCTCATGACCCTGTCCATCTTTCTCCCGTGGAAAATCATAGCTTCTTATGAGAACAGATAGCCAGAACGCCCCACTCTTATCAGTGCCTTTGAGTGGTCTTCGAGAATGCTGATAGCATCCTCTTCTCTTCCCTTCCACAATGGCTACGAAAGCGAACTCAGTTCCGCATCCTACGTTGATTCAGGTGTGTCTTTCTGCTACTAAATATCCGTGTCGATCTTTCTCATTGCCATAGGTTGATCCCTTTGTGTGAGTGTCAACGATCTGACGCGTCGGCGGGGCTTGCTGATACTGGTCATGAAGGCCTGCGGACCAACAGAAGGTAATTTCTGCTTGTGTATCTCATCTGCGCGACTCAGCCAAACCATAGGGTTTGCACAATCGGTGGCAGTACGTCTATCGTCGGTTTCGCGCACAAGCCCTTCTGCTAATATCTCGGCAGCCCCGATATCCCAGCTGTTGCAACAGTCAAACCAGGCCAAGTCTTCAAGATCGAATGTGTCGATTGGACGGGCGCGCAAATCGGGAATAATGACTGTATGCGCCGCTGCACTCACTCATTTGCTGGTTCAACGATGCCTATCTGCCTAGTTAGCGACGACATCAAGGACGTCGACCTGAGCAAGGTGCACAATCTTTCCGGTCCGATCGCGGTCGAAGGTGCAGAACCCGGCGATTGCCTAGTGGTGGACATTCTAGACGTTACACCGTTCGAAAAGATGCCTTGGGGCTACACTGGCATCTTCGAACTGAGCAACGGCGGTGGTTTGTTTGCGAAGGAGTTCGAGAGCAAAGCCGCGAAGGCCATCTGGGATTTCCACGGTCTGTCTTCGCACAGCCGCCGAAGGCTTGAGATTGACATTTCGTATCAACGCAGGCGTGTATGCGTCCTCACGCCACATCCCGGGTGTCCGGTTCGCCGGTGTATCGCACCCGGGTCTCATCGGGACTGCCCCCTCTGCTGAGCTCCTGGCGACGTGGAATCAACGCGAGGGCGCGCTGATCGCCGAACATCCGAACGCGATGCCGCCTGTCGCCTTTGCGCCGAGCGCGGTCGGAGCCTATGTTGGCCAGGATCTCGACCCCGAGGTTATGAAGAAGATTCTTGAAGAAGGGGCTAGGACGGTTCCAGGACGCGAGCACGGCGGAAACTGTGACATCAAGAACTTGTCCAAAGGGTCGAGATGCTACTTCCCTGTCTTTATCAAGGGTGCGAATCTGTCCGTTGGGGACTTGCATTTCTCGCAAGGAGATGTAAGCAGAATGTCTTCCAATTCCGACCATCTCACAGCTCACTAGGGAGAGGTGGATTCTTGCTGTTTACTGGATCCATATACTTACTCTATTCGAGCTCTCGTTCTGTGGCGCTATCGAAATGGCAAGTGGCTCACTAACGCCGCGCTCTGCAGTTGAACTCGATTTCCAGGCCGGAATCATCACATTCAGTACGAGCATTATCAAAGGCGGAGTGGAGAAGTTCGCTCTGAAACAGCCTATCTTCCTTGTCGGTGGTCATTCGTAGATGACTGCAACAGTCTCACATTCAAATCCAGCCCTCTCCCGTCGATCCGATGTACTCAGCCAAAGTGGTCTTCGAGGGAATCAGCGTCGACTACCGTCAGTCCAGCATGGGACACCGTTTCGGATTCTAATTGCTTGAACACACAGATGGGGACGGAAAACAATACAACATGGACGCGACGGTGGCTTACAAGCAAGCTGCACTGAATGCGATTGCGTATTTGATGAAAGTCGGATACAGTGAGTGTTTCAACTCTTGATGATACTCGAATTCACGAGATTGCAGCTCGCGAACAAGCTTGTGAGCCGATGTCGGCGATGTCCATTTCACCTGTTGAATCAGCTCCAGATCTGCTGCTCTCGGCAGCTCCAATTGAGAGTCATGTCGGGGCTGTAGTGGTGGGTGACACAAGTTCGAATCTCGATTCTCAGGCTGACTCCGCGCAGGACTCCCCGAACGCATGCGTTACTATCGGAATCCCGACTGGAATCTTTGACCATGTATTACCCGTCTCATATTATCTCATCTTTTAAACGCTAAACTCCGGTCTACTCAGGATATACTTCCCAAACCAGAAGGCTTCACGAAGAAGGTCAGTCGTTGTCAATAGACGACCTGCGCACTTTCTCAGACTGGCTTGCAGGATTTCGGTCAATGTGCTATCCGTTCGGATGGCATTGTGTAATGAATATCAACTCAGTGGTAAGTGTTCTATAGCACTTAGCACTGACAACTAGCAATGTTATTGCATATGTAATCGAGGGCGGGTATACATCCGAGGATCATGTATTTTAGTCGAACACGTTGATGCGCTATTGCTGATCGGAACCGACGTCTCGGCCCCCACACGATAAGTGGTTACTCTGTGCCATGGAACGGATCCTGAGAGACGGGGACTGAGTCCTCTGGAGGTCAAAATTGAGAGAGACTCTCTGAGTGGCGATTGGGAGGCTTGTTTCATAACACATCTTCGTCCAGCCACTCCGTGACCGGATCTTGATTTGAAAATGGATCATGTCTTCATGCTAAGATGTCCAAGCTGCCTCCGACGATCGACGTTCACATGCGGAGTTTTGCGAACGCAGATTGATGGTACGGGATCAAGGATGAGCTAGACAGATGGATCGGCAGTGCAGCAGGAAAGTAATGAAATGAGGTTCGGCAGTACGGCTCCGCAATGATTAGGAGGAAGATGTTGAGCTAGGGGATCTCTTGTTACAGGAGATACCTTCAGCAGGTCGAGCTCCTCTCGGCCATATCTCTGGCCAACGAAAAACGCTGAAGCCGATGAGCCCTGACATTGCTCCACAGTTCGGACGCCGGACAAGGTAAGTAGGCTTGAACGCTAGATGCCGG